GGCCTGCTGTGTTCATCCAGCTCTACACCTTGTCATGACAGTATATATTCTTCTTTTTTCTGGCAATTATGACTTGCATAATTCACTTTTATGGGACTTTTTCTCCTTTAAAGACTCTTACAATTCAAGCAGTAAGGGGGCCTCATGTTCTAAGAAAGTGCACCACCACTTACCTACATTGCATATAATTTGCCAATTACATGCTTATTCTGCAGTTTTTTAATGTCATCTTGTACTTATGTCATTTTTTTCCTCAGTATTAACTATACATTTCAATTTGATTTCATCTGCAAATTTTAAAATTATACTTCTGATCTCCAAGTCCACATCATTGAGGTAAATTGTGAAAACCTGAACACTCTGAAACACGGCTTCCACACATTTTCCCATTTGAGAAACTACCTTTAACCGTTAACCATTTTCTTTTTGGTACCTCATTAACTACCCATTCTGCTAATTTGAAATGCCCTGACCCTAGTTATGGATCTACTGTAGGCTATCTTACCAAAGCCTGATATGTAGCTCATCAAATGATGACAATATCATATTCCTATGGTTAATCTTCTTAAGACATCTGCTGTAACTTACAGAATGGATATCAATTTAGGCATTGAAGGTTTCGTGGAATCATCACAATTAGGAAAGATAAAGGTCGGGAAATAAACTTGGAGGATCTTTTCCCAAAGAAAATAGATCCCCACAGAAGTCACTGGATAACAATTAAGATCATTTGACCTGTTGACTGATCACCTTTTTATTCTGCTACTCCCACCAACAAACCCCTCTGCAAACCATCTAATCTAGAACCTCAGGGAAAACCCTTCAACATTGTTAGCTTAAAACTCACCAATAGACCAGGAATTAAACAAAGGACTTTCCTGTTATTCAATTTAACTCTGAGCTATCAAAGCAACCTTATAATGATTTGTTTAAGCCTTCTCCCTCCATTTCACCAACCAATTCAAATACATACTCTTGCTTAGCCAGAACCTGCTTATCTGTTGAACTTTGAAGATTTGTTGTCAGACCACTCTATAATGATTATCAATCTTTGAGGTGGAAATGTTCATCCATTCAGCTCCTGTTGCAGAAATCATTATAATGTTACTGATTTCACCTTAATATAGTTTATTTTTTCTTACAGCAAAACCATTCCACATGTACCACACAAGTCCAATTCCCAAGCCTTCTTATGCCTATATTGAGAGCTTACTGAAAAAATGATATTAAGCTATACAGGTCATTTGAATCTTAACAAATCAATAGTTGGCTATTTTCATTAGTGAGCAATCTATACTTAACACTTCTTTGAAAAACAGTAATTCAGTCTGCATAACCTGTCAATGAAATATTATTGAAAGTTTAACACTGACCTGGCCAATTGAAGAATTTATTATCAAGGAATGAGCATTCCCATGACCAAACAGTTATTGGAAAAGAATGATCATTTGGACTAACAAAGTCAGTAAAGTGTATCTGATTTAACACTGACCTTGCTAACTCAAAGAGTTTCTTAGCATGTGATACAACTTCCTGCTGTGCCATTGAGAGTAGCCGTTTGTGCATACAGATCCCAGAATACGTGTCCTGAAAAACCAGAATTAATGTCTGGAGTAGTTTTCCAAGAGGATGACGAGTTGACGCAAAGACCTAGAATAGAATTCAAACAGAAAATCCTTTTAAGGTGGCAGCAGTAACAATAAATAGACTTAAATAAAAAGGTATAGGGATCCTTGGCCTTAGAAATAGAAATCTGGACTATAAAAGCAAAGTGGTATCGTTAAACCTTTACAAGTCACTAGTTAGGCCTGAGGTGGAATATCGTGTTCAATTCTGGTCACCGTGGTTTTGGTAAGATGCCCTGGAGCTTTCATTCTTTCATGGAATATGAGCACTGTTGGCAAGGCCAGCATGTCTTGTCCATTCATATGAACTGAGTGGCTTAAAAGGGCAATTTGGAGGGTAGTTAAGAGTCAACAACATTGCTGTGGGTCTGGAATCACATCTAGACCTGTCTGTCGTCCCTAAATGGCATGAATGAACTAAATGATTTTTTAAGGATAATTAATGATAATTTCATGGTCACCTTTACTGAGAACAATTTTCACTGCTCGATCTTGAATAACAGAATTCAAATTCCACCAGGTGCTGTCTCCAGAACATTAGCCTGTATCTCTGGCTCACTAAACCAGTGACATCACCACTGTGCCAGAGATGGACTTCAGAGAGACTACAGGAGCTAGGATTGTTCTCTTTAAACTATGACTCATTGAGATACTAGTTGGATAGCTCTTTCAGAGGACTTGCATGGACTTGAAATAGTATGAATTTCTGTATTGAAATGTTCTGTTGTTTTATTTTGTCATTCTATGCCCTAGCTCAGGCAATAGCTTCTTGATAATGGTAACATGTAGATCTCATTCTATAGACTTGACCATATTTTGCAGGATTACTGAGGTTGACAATTCAGTGTAGTATTGGAGAATTTTGGAGGCATCATCTTTTGAAGGCGACATGAAGCAAAACACCTTGTGTCTCCCCAGCTAATTGCAAAACATCCCACAGCACTTACTGAAGTGCAGGAAAGTTCACCTGGGCCAAACTTTATTCTTCAGGCAGCAGAAGTAAACAGATTATTTGATTAGCATCACCATGTTATTTGTAGGATCTTGAAAATTGTCTACATTAAATAAAAACTTGTATTTATGTAGCAACTTTCACAACCACCCCTGGATATCCCAAAGTGTTTAAAACCCACCAGTGTAGTTACTGAAGTGTAGTACTGACATATTGTAAGAAAGGTAGCAGCTAATTTGGACACAGTATGCACTCAAAAACAGCTAATGACCACAAAAACTATTGTTATGATTTTGATTGAGGTATAGACACCAACCAGGATGCCCTGTGTAACACTACTCTAAAGTAGTACCATGGGATCTTTAATATTCACATTGAATATAGGAGTCAGAAGGTCATTCTGCGGGTGTACAGGACGTTGGTTAGGTCACTTTTGGAATACTGCATGCGATTCTAGTCTCCCTGCTAATAGGAAAGATGTTGTGAAACTTGAAAGGGTTCAGAAAAGATTTACGAAAATGTCCCTAGGGTTGGAGGTTTTGAGCTGTAGGGAGAGGCTGCTTAGGCTGGGGTTATTTTCCCAGGAGTGTCAGAGGCTGAGGGATGACCTTATAGAGGTTATAAGATCAGGAGGGGCATGGATAGGATGAATAGCCAAGGTCTTTTCCCCAGGGTTAGGGAGTCCAAAAATAGAGAACATAGGGTTAAAGTGAGAGGGAAAAGATTTAAAAGGGGCCTAATGGCAACTTTTTCACACAGAGGTTGGTGCATGTATGGAATGAGCTGCCAGAGGAAGTTGTGGAGGTGGGTACATTTACAACATTTAAAAAGGCATCTAGATGGGTATATGACTAGGAAGGGTTTACAGGGATATCGGCTAAAGGCTGGCAAATGACACTAGATTAATTTAGGATATCCGGTTGGCATGGACGAGTTGGAATAAAGGGTTTGTTTCTGTGCTGTACATCTCTACGACTCTATGACTGAGGAGACAGATGGCACCCTTGACAGTGCAGCACTCCCACGGCTCTGTATTGGGATTGTCAGCCTAGATTGTTGAGGTCAGGTCTTGGATCCACAGCCTTTTGACTGAGAGTCTCGAGTTCTACCAACTGAGCAATAGGCTGACACTTGCATTGCAACAGTGACTACACTTCAAAAGAAAAGGACTTAATTATGAAGCTGCTCTATAAATGCAAGTTTATTCTTTCCTTGCATAAACCTGTCTGCCTTACCTCACTCAGGTACTCCTTCAACTCTTTCCCCTCAGCCAAGTTACATTGGTTTGGTGGCAGTTTCTCAGGTTTGGTAGCATTTGACCTAGAAGAAGGGGAAATAAGCGATCAAAATCAGATAACTGAGGTACTGTTCTTAGGTCTTATCCTTTATGCACAAATCAGAATCCAACTTAAACTAACAGAATTATGGTCTCCCTCTTTTTTTACAAATTATTTACAAATAAAATGTGTTATTCTCAATTCATTACCAACATTCACATATTTGTCCTGTTCATTTACAATTGTTTCTAGCATTCCAAGTCCGCTATTTTCAGGAGCATGTGGCATTGTAAGTACACTGCATTTCCCAAGGTCCACGCTGATCTGCTGTCAGATTTCTCAAGAAGCTACAGTTTCTGAAAATGGCAAATGCAAGAATCCATTGCCTTTCTAATTTTGAACATGAAAGCCATAAACAGAAAGGCTGCCACTCAATGGAATTGTAATTGTGCAGCTAACAAAGAAATTTATTTCAATTTGGAAATTGATTGCAGTTGTAGGAATATTTGGCCTGGTATAATTTCTAGGATATTAGGGAGCTGGTACAGATACATCTACTCCAAAAGCTACACAGGACTCCTCAGGGCCTTGGTGAGACCACACCTGGAATACTGTGTGCAGTTTTGGTCTCCTTTTCTGAGGAAGGATGCTCTTGCTCTCAAGGGAGTGCAGCGAGGGTTTACCAGGCTGATTCCGGGGATGGCAGGTCTGATGTATGAGAAGAGATTGACTAGGTTGGGATTGTTTTTGCTGGAGTGAGGGGGGATCTCACAGAGACTTATAAAATTCTAACAGGACTGGACAGGGTAGATGCAGGGAGGATGTTCCCAATGGTGGGTGTGTCCAGAACCAGGGGTCACAGTACGAAGATTCGGGATAGACTATTTAGGACGGAGATGAGGAGACATTTCTTCAACCAGAGTGGTGACCTTGTGGAATTCATTTCCACAGGAAGTAGTTAATGCCAAAATATTGAATGTATTCAAAAGGCAACTAGATATAGCAGTTGGGGTGAATGGGATCAAAGGTTAGTGGAAGAAAGCAGGATTAGGCTATTGAGTTGGATGATCAGTCATGATCATGAAGAATAGCGGAGCAGACTCAAACAGCCGAATGGCCTCATCCTGCTCCAATCTTCTATGATTCTGTTTTCTATGTTTGTCTCTCCCAACAGATGATGTGTAACGTAAGTTGAATAGGTGGAGCCAATGAACATGAACCCCTTAAAAACGATCACCTCAAATAACAAAGGGAAACAATCTTACCTGCTGCAAGATAAAAAATCAAGCGGATCTTCATTGGAATGTTCCATGGCACTTCCCACTTCTGTGGTTATTGCCCTGCTCTTCAGAGCTTTCTGTCGTTCTCTGTTCTTTGAGTAAAACCCAAGGAAGGATTCCATTGAAGTTTCATCAGAGCCAGAACGAAGGAAATCACTAAATTGGTCATAGATTCCCTGCCATCGATCTTTAGCTGGGGTTATGTGGCTGCCCAATTGCCTAGAATGGAATAACATCTCACATGAAATAGCCTCTTACCTTCTCTGCTATGAATAGAAAAGCAAAATACTGTGAATGTTGGAAATATGAAATAAACACAGAACATGGCAGAAATACCCAGGTCAGACAATGTCTTTGGAGAGAGGGAGAGAAACTGTTAAAGTTTTAGATCTGATAAATAGTCCTTGGCTACAACATTAACTGTTTCTCTCTCCATAGTTTCTGCCCTGATAACTATTTTTAGCATTTTTCTGTTTTTGTATTAAATCTGCTTGTTTGAATATTGGCCTTGAAATTCCATTGTTATTTGTCCTGTCTCAGGTCAACACTCCAACAGGAAACCAGGGAATTATCAAAGAAACAGGGTAAAACAACAATGCCAATACAGAGGAAATGATGAATTGTCAGTAATGCCATGATTTGGATGAGACTTTAAACCGAGGCCCTGCTCCCATTCACATGGACTTAAAAAAAATCAAAATAATGCCTTGCCATCAATCAATAGCAATATAATTAGCCACTACATTTTCCAACAAGGATAAGAATCACTTCAAAAGTGTTTCTTTAGGCTATAAATAACATTGCAAATTCATGAGGTTCTAAAAGGCCTATATAAATGCAAGTTTTTTTTGCCTTCTAACACAGTTATTTAGTTAATCTATTAATCTGTTTGCTTTCTTAATTGCTAATTAATTTGGCAGTGACTCCGAACACCCCCAAAAGAGTTCACATTGCACATGCTGGAAATTCTAAGAATGTATACCTTCTAAAATCCCCTGCCAGTAAATAAAATGGCAATACCCAAATAAGCACAATAAGTATGATCAAACGAGATGGAATGTCATCACTGGCATTTTGCACATGCATAGTGAGAGAATTTTCAGGATGTCAGCTGACATTCTCAATTAATTTCGACCAGACTATTTTCTTTAAAAGATTCCTCATTGGCCTGTAGTTGCCAGGTTTATCCACTTCCACTTTTATTTTGCTAGGATAACACTGGATACAATCCTCTGACACCACTTGATACCTAAGAAATATTGGAAGATTGTGACCAGGACCTCTGAAGTTCCCACACTTACGTTCTTCAGTACCCAAGGATACATACCATCCGAACTACGTAACATTTTTACTGTGATCACAGCTAACTCTGTGATGTTGGCCACATCCTCTCCTTCTGTGATACCAAATGTGGAGTGCTCATTATCTCAGCCTTCACGATTGTTTCCATTTTGGTTCCCTAATCAGCCCATCTTCCTTTGACTAGCTGTTTACTCTTTGTAGTTACTGTGGTTGGCATGACCAACTCCTCTTGAATCATATATAGACAGGTAATTACTTTTTTCAGTTCTCCTCTGTGCTTTCTATATTCTGTTTGGTTCTCTGCTGAATGTTGAATTTGACATTGATCAAAAACATTTTCCATTTCATTTTAATTTATATACTTAGTCATTGAGGACACTTCAGAATTTAATATCCTTCCCTCCTTATGAGAATTTGTGTAGACTGTATCCAATATAGTTTACTTTGAGGCCCTTTAGGTTCATTCATTTTTTTAAAATATGCCAAGCTTTGATAGTAATCTGCCTGGGCTAAGCAGATTTTCAACCCATTGGAAAGAAATCTCACCAAGTTCAGTGTATTAACTTCTGGTTTTTTCTTCTCCTTTTGTATAGCTATTATAAACCTAACGATATGGTAGGTATGGAATTGTTGCAATGTAAAGAGAATTATCGAGTTGATTTTGCGACACACAAGTATGGAATGTGTTACTGCTTTCTAAGTTTGGACAATTCACACTCACATTTTGCTGGTGATCAAAGGGTTTAGTTCTTCTGTGGGTTTGCAGAATGTTCCATTGGTCTTCAAACCACTTCCCCATTTGTTGCTGAATAATCCTTCTATCATGTATCCATTACTAAAGGTGAGCTTTCCCTGGAACATAACAATTGCAAATTAGTTTTTTTTAAGTACAGACCTCTTTTTGTTTCAGCAGTTTGATGTGTGTTGTGCATATGGAGTCTTCTGGAGTAACATGTGATCTAGACTGGGTAGGAAAACAAATTTCCTTCTACAAAGGACATTTATGAATCAGATAAGTTTTCACAACTATCCAGTTGGTCACGGTCACGTTTACGAGTCCAGTAAAATTACCACTGTCATTTCTTGATGCCTCAGTACTTCTCTAATCTCCCATCATATCTTTGGTGAAAGACCAGCAGATTGCCCAGAGAATTGTAAAAGCTGTTTCCAGTTATGGTCATGCTATCTCTTGAAAGGTTTTCACTGATCTGCAAATGTAATACAAGGTGGTCATGACAGTCTTCGTGAACTGAATGTCTATGACGGAGAAAGACCAATAGTTGCATAGAAAATCTTGGAACAATGACAATATGTTCACCATAACCAAGCTAATACCAGTCAAACCATTTCTCCCTATCCCCCTTGTATCATCTCCACCCATTTCTTATCTCTGAACCTTCAATGCACAACTGTTCAAATATGTGAAAAATATTCAAAGTTGGTGCTCAGGAGCAATCTGGAAGTAAAACATAGTGAACAAAATGCTATAAACAAACAGCAGTTTCTCCAGCAGCTGGAAAGAAAATAACAGAAGTTATGATCTTCAATGAGATGAGTTTTCTACTTGCCCATCATCTGATCCATTCAATTCGTAGGCTCTAACCATCATTAACTTGCTCAAGTGATTATTCTTATGTTATTGATCTTGCACCAATATTAGACTATTGTTGTTTCAGAAGCAGTTCAGAGAAGGTTCACTCAACTCATTCCTGGGATGAACAGCTTGTCTTATTAAGAAAGGTTGAACAGGTTAGGGTCACGTCCATTGGAGTTTAAAAGAATGAGGCTGACCTTATTGAAACAGAAGATCTTAAAGGGACTGGACAGGGTAGATACCTGGAGGTTGTTACCTCTCGTAGAGGAAATCAAAACTAAGGGATGCAGCTAAAGAATAAAAAAGATTTTCTTTGAGACAGAGGAGGAGATTTTTTTTTTCTCCCAATGTTGTTACACTAAGGAATTGCATTCCCCAAAAGTGGAAGATGTATCTTTAAATTCATTCAAGGTTGAGTTACACTTTTGATAAACAAAGGAGTAAAAGGTCATGGGGAGCATAGAGGAAACAGGAGCAGAGACTTCAACTAGCTCAGCCATGATCCTGTTGAATAGTAGAGCTGGCTTGAGTGGCCAAATGGCATACTACTGCTCTTAATCTTATGTTCCAATGACTGAGAGGTCCATCTCAATGAAGTGTTATTCTTTCCTAAGCCACTGCTCGTACATTCTAACTGCTTACAATGTAGGCCACAAATTAACATTGATCGTTCTTTTCTATGAGGCTATTGTGAATCAACCACATAACAGAATCACATAGGACAGAAGAGATAGGACTGGCAAGTGTCCTTCTCCGAATAACATTGTTACATCAATTAAATTTTTATGAAAGTTCAACAGACGCACTGCCATTTTCTGGTGCCAGCTGACAAATAACCAAATTTATTGAATTTGATTTCTTAATTAATTTTAAAATTACAGTGACTGGGCTCTAAATCTAGCATCATAACTACCAAATTGCCATATCTACTTACAACAGGCCTCACTGGATGGCTGAACTGCATTTCAAACTTCTTATCCAGAAAACTCAAGGCCAGGTGACACTCATACTTTGCTATCTCCCCTGGATTCACTAACCAGGTACAGATGAGGTAGTGTCCCGATTCTTCTGACTGAATACCACCCCGTACAATGCATTTATTTTCCTCACTGGGGTAATCCTTTATTGACATAATGAAAGAATCATAGCTTTTAACACGTAAGTAAATTCACTTATAACCTTCAAAAGAAACCAACTATTCTATTAGTAACGATCAATGTTTCAAGTAGTTGTGTTCAGTGATGGGAAAACTCCAGTTAATTAAAAAGGACCAGCTGTGCACAACCTCCAGTTCAGCATAAGTCACATTAGAACTTTTAACATCATGACCACTGAAGACAGGATTTAACGGGCTTTATGGTTCTTCATTCTTTCAAGATTTCTCCATATCAGTAGATATCTTTCTCATCTACCCCCTCCTTCGCAACCATTGGCTACCTTTTCATCTTCAGCCAAAACTGTGGCTCTCTCGCTCACGCTCTCCTTCTGTCACCACGCCCAAATCAATGTCCACCTTGCTTCTACTGTCTCAAATGTGGGAGCCATATGTAAAATGCATTTATCACATCTAGGCAAGGAATCATTCATCTGCTGCTGCTAACGAAACACGGCACCTCATGGATGCCTCGTCATGAGTTGCTTGCTCTGTTTGAATCCTAACCCATTCAGCACAGCGATAGTGCCTGATAACATGATAAAGAGCGTTGTCTCCGCTCCTGATCATGTCACAGACAAATGCATCTGCTACAAGCAGGCTGGTGAGGACAAGGTCAAGAATGTTTTTCCTCTCGTTGGTCTTCCCACCAGCTGCAGTAAGCCCAGTCTGGCAGCTATACCTTTTAAGACCTCACCAGCTCTGTTAGTTGTGGTGCGACACAATGAAGTCCCCTGTGCAGAGTACATTGTGCATCCTTGCCAACTTTGGTGTTTCCTCCAAGTGGTATTCTACATGGAGGACAGAAAAATTCCTTGCCTGTGTTCAACCTGATTTGATGAGTCAGCATTGAGAACTCCCAGGGCGATACCCTCCAGACTGCACGCCATGTGCCACCAACTTCGGTGGATCTCCAGGAATTGTGACTGTGATGTTTGGGACATTGTCTGTAATGTATATTCCAGTTTGCTCCAATCCAGTCTCCCAATTTTTACCCAGATGTTACCAAGGATGGTTTTGCAGGGTCAAAAGGACCATGTGTGCATAGTTGTTTCCAGTGCCTTGGTCCATCTACGTTGCTGTTGGTCTGGAGTTACGTGTAGTCCAGAGCAGGTGAGGATGGCAGATTTTTCTTACCCTGGAGGATACTAATGAAACAGTTGGGATTGTATTTTTAATATGACAATCAACAGCTTTTAACTCCAGGTTTACTAATTGAGTTCAAATTTCACAAACTCCCACATTGAGATTTTAAATCATGGCCCCAGGGTGTTAGCCTGTGTTTCTGAATTACTAGTCCAATAATCATACCACAATACCATTGCTTCCCCTTATCCAATCAAATGATCTGTATATAGTATGGAGTCTAAAGCTCCCACCTTTCCAGTTAGAAACAGCTCTTCTGTGAACTCTCCTTCATAGGCAGAATCATCTTCTGACAGAATTGTTCCAGGACCCTGATGATTATATAGAAAATAAATTAAATACTGAGTTGTTTATAAAGAGCATTTGATTTGAAGACATTGAAGTAAGGAGACCTAATACTCAAGATAAATGAGGTCAGTATTCTGCCTCAGCTTCATGCTCAGACCAAGTATATCATATATATATGATACTTCAGGGTGCCTACTTAAGAACAGGACAGGTTAAGTAAAGGGGCCATTAATTCTGTCGGAGTTTGGTATTCTTGGTACCAGCTGTTTTGATCCCAGCTGTGGTAATACTGGACAACTCAGATCCTCGATTGACACCTGTCTTGATATACTTATAAGTTTTATATTTTCTTTTTGTTTACTATGGACGTGTGTCACTGAACAACTTTATAAGAGTCTGCCAATACACATTAACAAAAGAATGTACAAGTTCATTCCACAAAAGAAACTTGCAATATATGTTATAGTATAGAGGAACAAGTGGAATAAACTCATTACAAATATCAGAGTGAATGATGCAACTCTTTTCATTCTAACATTTAGACACTAAGACCCTCAGTGAAGGGTCACTCCATCTCCATGTTCAGCTAACAGTGTAGTCAGTTTCATTTTCCTTAGGTTCTAGTGTGCATTCACGTGAAGTTTTTTTTCATTAATGTCCCTCCCAAAGACCTTTAAACAAGCTGTTATGTCAGCTTACTAATACTAACAGGTATGCATTCCTTAAACCCATATCATAAGCCTTTTTGAATGCCTTGCTTTGACACCTCCACAGATTTCAGCATCTGGAATTTTCTTATAAGCAATTCAGGACTTCTCCCTTTCTGCCCTGACTGTTTTAGACTCTGCTAAACTAGCAGCACTTCTGCTGTTACAGATCTTTTTATCTCTGAATAAACCTATTTCTGTCCCCATCCATATCCCTTGTAAAACTCAAATTAACAGATATTTAGCAACAGTCTCCTAGGGGGCTTGCTTGTCGTTTAGCTAAAATCACAATATATTGGAAAAGCAACCTTTCGCTCTCTATTCAAACTGACTTTATGATCTTTTGAAAACCTACACAAGTGAACACTAAAATTATTTTTTACTCCACTTTAGACGCCAGTGTTTCAAATGATAACAATATATTGTGAGCCTGTGTCTCACAGCTACGACTAAGGGCCATTTGACATCTGTTGATTGCTGGCACTGGGAAAGAGTCCTCAGCCATCAGAGCAAAGGCAGCAAGGACAGATCAATGACAGTGGTCTAAAGAGAGGTCTCCATGGATTTGCGGTGTTTTAATGGCTTCATCACTACCTATGCCACACAGATTTTGGCCAGCTGGGTACTGCTTGGACACTCAGGCATGGTATGCAACTAAATTAACAGTGCACAATTTGTGTATTGATAACTTATGCTTATATTCCCAGGTTGGGCAGCATAGAGCATCTCAGCTTTGGACCTGGTGTCCAATTTTCTGTGGCTCAATATCCTGCATCATTCACTGTCACTTCTTTCATCTGTGCTTCCACCCTGCTTCCGATGTTCATATCTTCCCTATATACCGCACCTTAAACCACAGAACTGTACTGGTGGAAATATAACTGCCGGTTGGTCTGCCAAGTTAACAGAAAGATAGGATTTAGACTAAAAGCGGTCTCTCAGAGTCAAGCTAATAATCTGTCTGTTATAGAAACAATCCAGAGACTGCACAGGTCTGCAATCCACGCTTTGTAAATCTGTATATAGACTTACAAAAAGTGATCATTGGTGGAAAGCCACAATTTGCTGGATACTCAGATTGGACATAAATATTTTGTTTTGAACAGACAGAAATAGGAAAATAATGACGTTCCACTAGACATAGGAAATTAACGAATTACATCCAAAGCTCATCAACCAAATGGGAAATTTGTTGTTAAAACCCCTAATAGTTACTCTTAGAATTAAAAATTACCCTTTAAAGTTCCGTAATAGTTCTAAGTAAACATTGGATGCCATCTTCCGTGAGCTGAGTCATAGAACACTTAAGGCAATGAATTTTCTGGGTCAGTCTTTGCCATGAGAAAGGATAGAAGAAAATCCAGTTACTGACCATCCCCAATGCAATCCTCAGATATCCCAGTGTCAGCTCTATTGCACATGGAAAGGATGACAAAGATATCAGTCCAACTAGAAATTCAATAGGTGGTTGCTGGCTAAGTGGAGAGAATCCTGAAGGAGAGAATGCCAAGGAGGATTGTAGTCATTTACAGGAGAAAGCTAGAAGCTATGCATTCTACAGAAGGAACTAAACAAAAAATCACTATGTGGAGGTATTATTGAGGTCTGACAAAGAGAGGATGCCATTCCTGAAGTAGAGAATCTGAGCTGCTCATACGTCAATGACTATCAGTAGCACCCTAACTGTTCCAAGGGTATCCTTCCAATGTAAGAAGTTCCATCAGCTTGTGAAGGTCAAGATCAAGAATGAAAGAGCTTATATAATACTTAAATAATAATCCCAGGGTAAACATTCTTTATAGACAATGGCAAACTTGTAAAATAAAGCTTCTAGACTTCTATTGTGGAAAATACAGTAGACAATTTACCAACAGAAATTTGACAATAGTGAGATAAACTGTTTTAGTGATGTTGTTTGAAAAATAACATTGGTGAGGCATCAGCAATGCCCTTCTACTTTTCTTCAAACACCACTGCTAGATATTTAACCTCTGCCCTAAGATGGACAGGGACCCTTGTTAAGAAGAGTAGAAGGAAGGAACGCTGGTGTTCTGAGCTACGCTGCACCAACAAACTGACTACTTTTTACTCACCGCTAACTTGTTGTATTGGAAGTTTCCCTCGTAGCACAGTCCTGACTGGGTAATTACGATACCATTCCCATGCTTGCAATCTTCCAGCCATGTGCCAATGTACCTCTCTCCCCTGTATATATAATGATAGAAATTTTATATTTAATTTTTAGCTAAAGTCAGAAAAATAAAGCAAAGACCCATCAAGAAGAAATAAGTTTCAGAGATAGTAGGAACTGCAGATGCTGGTGAATCTGAGATAACAAGGTGTAGAGCTGGATGAACACAGCAGGCCAAGCAGCATCAGAGGAGCAGGAAAGCTGATGTTTCGGGCCTAGACCCTTCTTCAGAATATGTTTGCCTGGAGTAAGGGAGACCACAGGGCTTGAAACATTCACTCTTTGCTCCCCACAGATGCTGTTAGATCTGCTGAGTTTCTCCAGCAATTCCTGTCTGTGCTTGTTTCATTATCTGAAGAATCATAAATGGTACTGAATATTTGCACAATCATCAGTGAACATCCCCATTTCTGACCTTAATATGGAGGAAAGGTGAAACAATTGAAAAGGATTGGACCTAGCACACTACACCAGGGAACATAAGGGCTGTTTTGGTATAGTAGTAGTGTCCCTACCTCTGCGTTCAAGTCCCACCTGCTCCAGGGGTGTGTCATGACAGCTCTCTATGAACAGTCACTCTCACCTCACCTTTAGAGCTGAACACTTTTAGCCAGATTTGTACGAAGGCTGGTCAAGAGGTAAGTGGCCCTGGAAGACCTCAATAAGCAAGTGAGTCCTGTGCTGTAGCTTCACCAGGTTGATACCTCATTTTTCTGAAGAAGGGTCTCGATCCAAAACGTCAACTTTCCTGCTCCTATAATGCTGCCTGGCCTGCTGTGTTCCTCCAGCTCCACACTGTGTTATCTCTGACTCCAGCATCTGCAGTTCTTGCTATCTCATTTTTAGGTATGCCTTGTACTGCCCATTTTGTACCTTCCTGCATTATTCATTGAACCAGGTTTGATTCCTTGACTTGATAACACATTTCATTTGAGGCCAGTCAGCCCTTCGAACATGTTCCACCATTCAATATCATCATGGCTGTACACACAACTTGGTACCATGTTCCCACTTTGTCTGTATACTCATTGATCCCTTTAACCCTAAGAAATATATCTAACTCCTTCCTGGAAATATTCAATGCTTTGGCCTCAACTGCTCTCTGGGGCAGAGAATTCCACAGGTTCATCACTCTCTGGGTGAAGAAGTTTCTCATCTCTGTACTAAATGGCCTAGAATGACTGTGACCCCTAGTTCTGGACTCCCTGGTCATTGGGAACATCCTTCCTGTGCTTACTCTGTCTAGTCCTGTTAGAATTTTTATAGATTTGTGAGATGACCCCCTCATTCTTCTAAAATATATATGTGTAATGAATATAAATTGGAAAATTGAAGTTTGGCATATTATTTACTTTTATAATGACGCAGAAGTAAAATGGTGTGGCATTTATTCATTGGTTACAAAGATCATGTGATTTTTGGAAGCGGGAATTTAATTTTTTTTGAGGCTATCTCACACCAGATGCCTTAGCATTGAAAAAAAACAAACTGCTCAGCAACAGCTTTCGGATTGGTTTTAAGTAGCAGTTTTATCGCACAACTGAGAGAAGACAGCAATAGGACTTGCATGTCCAAAAGCCTGCAAGCAAGACAGGTCCCTTTCTCTCCTTCTGAGTGGAAAGTAAATAATATTCAAAGACTCTGCAAGGGAAAAAAGTATAACACAATCAAGATCAACATCCATTAACTGGCTCCTCAGCTAAGGACCACATGGTTGACAAGGATGACATTTTTGCCAAAATACAAAGTAACTGAGAGAAAGCCACCTAATTACCCCTGTGTTTTGGGCTCTTGATCCACAGTCTTTCTTTATACCTCTATTTTCTTAGAATCCCTACAGTGTGGAAACAGGCTCTTCGGCCCAACAAATCCACACTGATCCTCAGAGCATCCCACCTAGACCCATTCCCCTATAACCAACCAAATCTGCACATGTCTGAACATTATGGGGCAATTTAGCATGGCCAATCCACCTAGCCTGCACATCTTTGCACTGTGGGAGGAAACCGGAGCACCAGGAGGAAACCCACGCAGACACAGGGAGAATGTGCAAACTCCACACAGACAGTTGTGCAAGGGTGGAATCAAACCTGCATTTCTGGTGCTGTGAGGCAGCAGTGCTAACCACTGAGCCACTGTGCCGCCCCATTAAGCTCAGAGCCCATGATACTGCTGACTCAGTGACTAGCAGCCATGCTAGGACTGAGCCAGCTCAGGCATAAAGATGCTACTGAGCTATTCTTGATGATAGACATTGAAGATCTCCAACCAGAGTACATCCTATGCCCTTACTACACCCAGTGATTCTGCTAAGTGATGTTCAGTGAAGAGGTAAACCAATTCTTCAGCCGAAGAGGGGGAGAGGGAGGCAAATGGTAACTAACCAAGTGGCTTTCTTCCCCATGTTTGACCTAATAACATGCTATTTCACGGGATCCAGAATCAATGCTGACAACACCCAGGGCAACAATCACCTGAGTGTATATTTCTGTAGCTCTATCAATGGTAGCCTGTTCTGTTGGGGGGATAGAACATAGGGACAGCATCATCATCCCCAGGTATCAGGGAAATTGTGATGTTTGATTATGTAGGTATGAGTATGCTGGCATTTCTTACCTAATTAGCGGGTCATGTTCCCCAATTTTGGCATTAGCTCCCAGCTGTTAGTAAGGAGAGTTTGCAGGTCAACAAGACTGTATGTGCCATTGTCATTTCTGGTGCTGACGCTGGGTGCTTCATTTATTTATTTAGCTTTTGTAGTGGTTTCACTGAATGGAGTCCCTTGCTAGGCCATTTCTGAGGTCAGTTATGAGTCAACCACATTGCTACACATTTGGAGTCATATGTAGGCTAACCTATGGGAACTTAGGAACAGACAGTAGGCCATTCAGCCCCTCAAGCCTGTTCTGTCATCTAATTAGGTAATGGTTGACCTATGGCCTAACTCAATACAAGTTTTTGCTTATATCCTTAATATTTTTCTCCACAACAATCTATCTCTCTTAGATTTAAAATTAACAACTGATCCTGCATCAATTGCTGTTTGTGGAAGAAAGTTCCAAACAACTACCACGCTTTGTGCTTCCTAACATCTCTCCTGAACATTAACCCTCATTCCCAGATTATATCCCCTTGTTCTAGAATCCCCAACCAGTGGAAATAGCTTACCCTTTCTACCCTGTCTTATCCTGTTAATATCTTGAAGACTTTAATCAGCTCACCCTTTAACCTTCTAAATTCTCTCCTCATAACTTAACCCCTGAAGTCCAGATATTATTCTTGTAAACCTACGTTGAACTCCCTCCAAAGCCAATATATCCTTCCAAAGGTGTGGTGCACAGATCTGCTCTCAGTATTCCAGATTTTGTATAGGTGCAGCATAATGTTGTTGTCGTGTACTCCAATATATGTCCAGGTATAAGTTCAGTTTTTTGGTTGCCATTGTACTGGTTTTTTATTTCCGGTTTTTATTCAATTCAAATTTCAACATTGTCATAGTGAGATTTGGACCCATGTTCCCAAAATATTAATTAGTCCAGTGAAATTCATTTGTTAATTAATTATACATCTCTTTTCCCTCTTCCTCTTAGTGCTTGAACTTGCTTTTGGAGTATGGATCTTAGATCAGTTGTTAATTTTAAATGAGATAGATAATTTTTTGTTATAAAAGGAATTAAGGGATATTGGCCTTAGGCAGGTATACAGAATTAGACCACAGATCAACCATAATCTCATTAAATGGTGGAACAAGCCTGAGCGATGAATGGCCTACTCCTGTTCCTACATTGTCAAGGCTCCCTCTTGCTATCCTGCTTAGTAAAGTCGAGTCATCATGGTCCCAGAGGATCATAGGGCTGCTTGCTCACAGGAGAGAGATGACTGGTGTTTAATCTGAGGGTCACCACGTCTCAGGTGAGGGTGAGACTGAGAAGTCAGGATCTTCATGATAACCTCAGTTGGTGAAAGAACTGAACCTTCACTATTAGCATCACTTTGCATTGCAAACCAGCCATCCAGCTCTGGGATAGCAATGAATCTTGGCAGAGTAGTCTCAGAGCAGAGCTGTACCCTGATTAATTCCACAATCTAGTCCGTGAACTACTGTCACCTAAACCAAGGCCAATTTACAGAGCAAAGACCTTCCCAGTTACATGGCCCAGCTATTCAGTGGCTGAATTCCTTCAGTCGTCGAGGAGCTCAGGACTTGAGGAATCATTTAAGAGGTAAATGACAATTGAAATGTTTGTCCTGACTGCTGGCTTTACATTATAATCTAAAAAATTGGTTCAGAGTGGCCTAAATTTGCAAGGTTCATAGTTTACCCATAATCCTGGGTTGATCAAGGCCAATTTAAAAAATTGAAATACAAGATTGATCCAAAAGCAATAAGAAAGAAAGTCAATCTTTTCTCCTTCCTGCCCATGGATTCAGTATTGGAATAACTGAGTAGATTGCCTCATACCTGTCAAGATCATCAAATACTCCATATCCACTTTTCTTATCATTCTCCCAATGTCCCACGTACTTAAAGGGAAGATTTTCCAGTCGAGAGCTGTGTAGAATTCCAAATCCATGACGCTGGTTGTCTTGAAAATAACCTTTGTAGGTCATTCCATTTCCATACCTAGAAACAAATTGGTTTTATTTACATTTTCAGACTGAGTTATTATGCTAAACAGGCTATGAGGCACCCAGATTCAATCCACAGTCTGTGCTGAGTTAACTCAAGTCTTCTAGCCGTAAATGCTTCACTGTTTATGTAGTCAGTAAACTTGTTCTATTGAATTCAGTTTTTCATTATACGATAAGTATAGAACGGCTGTAGACAGAGTTGCATCTCCCTGAGATTTAGAGGTTATAATGAATTTACAGATCAGTCAGAAAACCCAGACCAAATTAATAAGAATGGTAATCTCTGAATTTCCCTTTTTAGATGATGGGTTGTTAGCCAGGAACACACAAGCATGAAATTATTCTTGTAATCCTAAAATTAAAATGAAGACAATTACAATACATTATAGGGAGAGAAAAAAACCTCATGAGGACAGGAATTGGAACAATGTTTGGAGTGAACTACAGAAAATAAAATTATTCTACAAAAGAATTAGCAGACTCATGGTGGCTAAGTCATTAGGTTGGCAAAGATGCCATAGAGGCATATTGACATATCAATCCTCTTTGAATATGTCAATTTTGTCAGTGAACTCGAAAATAGCTAATATAAGAGTTTTATTCGAGGAGGAAAAGAAGGCCGGACTGGGCAATTATAAACTGGTTAATGTAATGTTAGATGTAGGCAAAACTTTGGCATACTGAAAAACAGATGGGAACTGAGTCACCAAATCAAATCTTTCTAGTTTCAAAGCCTGAGAGTTGACTGTCACATGGATTTAATGATTCGATGTACTTACTCACAGATGCCATAGCCATGCATTTTCCCTCTTTTCCAGTGACACTTATAACAATCAAAGATCTCTGGCCCTCCAGGAGCAACATACACACCAAAACTAGAACAAAGCACAAGTCATTAGTATACCCGTAAATCAGTGAAATTCCCAATTTACCAAGGGATTATTTGTCCCCTTCCTGTACCATTCACTTATGACCATCAGTAGCCTGTTGTGCCTCTGACAATTAGTAGTATGATGCTGATCAAGCCAGGATTTAATGCTGCTCTCTCCCCTTTGCTGAAGCAATGCCAAAAGAGGCAGGCACATCCGAGTTTTGTGCTCTGTCAATCAGAAAGGATGCCTGTAGGACAGAGGCCTTGGAAAATTACTAATGGCAGGATGAATGTGGAGTGCTTATGTTCAGTCTTCCCCCTCCTGCAAGCAATATATCAGCACTATTTAGCTCATTTTGAAGCCATACAGCACATTTTGTTAATTATTCAGTATGATGGCTGCATCTCTTAAATTGTGCCTGACCTAATGAAGTAACAACTTGCATTGAAAGCACAGTTTCAACAAAATGTACCAAAGCACTTTACCAGTGCATAATCAGGCAACATAGATAGGGCCAAGGGTGGGAGATTAGATAGGGATGTTAGTTACCCATCCTGAAAACTGAAATGACCTTGATGTCACTCGCAATAGGTGTTGATCTTACAGCCAATGAGCTGTGTCTTTTTGGAATCCAACTGTAACTCTCTTTTAATTAAGTTATTTAAAAATGTCAGACAGATTGAATTACCATCTCACCATTCTCAGGATTTTAGACCCACTAAAGAGGAAAATGACTACAATAATTCACTTTGCCAGCCAAGCCCTTCACATTAGCCAGAAATGTCAGAGTTGGAAATGTTACATCTGACCATGTTGATATGTATGATGAAAGGTCATTGACCTGAAACATTCACTTTTTTCTGTCCACAGATGCTTTCTGCCCTTTCAAATATTGAACATGTCCTGCCTTTATTTTACAACAAAACCTCAAACTAGTGTAATATTCCAAATGCTTCAACAAGGAAGTAATTAGACGCCAAGCAACATAGGGAGTATTAAGATACGACCAAAAAGCTTAGTCAAAGGGGTAGAATTTAAGGAGCAGCTTTAAGGATAAGAGAAGGATAGAGAAGCAGAGCAATTTCAGGATGGAAATCTAGCACTTAACAACTGAAAACATAACCATCAACACTGGAGCGATGAAAACAAAGGTGGCACAAAAGCCAGAATTGGAGAACGCTGGATATGGTTGTGGAATTCAAGCTAGTTATGTAGATAGGAAGGGCAAGGTAATAGAAAATTTCAAACATAAGGTTGTAAATTCTAAAATCAAACTGCTGTTGGAAAAGGAGTTTGGAGGTCAATGCAAGTCAGAGAATATGAGGACTTGGTACAATTTAAGATGTGGCAGCAGAATTTTGGATGATTCTCAAATTTCTGGAGGCTGGAAAACAAGAGATTCACCAAGCAGCCCTAAAACAGTCAAGCCTACAGGTAGGAAAAAGTCTTAGATTCGGGCCTCAGTGCCTGATCATGTAAGGCAGGGGACAAATCCAAGTGATGCTATGGTAGTGGAAATAGATAGTCTTGTCATTGCTTACCCATGTTCCTCACCATCTTCATAATTTCCAGCATAATTCCGTCCATCTGGCCATTTCATGATTCCGCTAAACCAATGAAAATACCAGTTACTATGTGGCTGCTGCTATCCACAACCTTAGTCCTAGGAAATTCAAGGTGGTGCCCAAATTGGAAGGTAGGGATTAGTCCTGCAATCAGTCTCACCCAGCAATGAACAGCATTGGCGGTTAGGTCTGAAAGCTGCAGATCCACAACTCTCAGCTCCTATCTAATCATGGATATGGGTCCATGATCTATGGGCCTGTTTACTCCAAGAATTTCTCACTGGGCAGGTCTCCTTACAGATATAAGATGTTATCACTCTACTGATTTTGTCATCCAATCTTGGAGCACATAAGGCATCTTTTAACCCATCATGCCTGTATTAGCTCTTGGAAAAAATCTTTTCCAATATTTCCACTTTCCTGATAGCACTGATTTTCAAGAAACTAACTAATTACCTTTGAAAATTACCACTGAATCTGCATCTGTTGTCCTAGCAGACAGCACCTTCAGTTTCCATGCTTCCTCCACAGACTTGCTGACCTCCCTCAAAAAAGGCAACCAAACCAGACCTTGCTTAAATTCTAATTTTGAGTTAGTTACCTCTGTTTGCACTCCGCAGCCATATTTATAAAATTAATTACTACACAAAATAAGTGGCTTTAAAGAGAGGTTAGAGATTACTTCTGCCAATTTTTTATATTTTTCAATCAATAATGTATCCACACTCCAGGACTAGTCAGTTCTTGAGTTAGGAACTACTTTCATAAAACATTGTTAAGAACTGTGTGCAAGACAGTTCCAAAAAGACTGGTATTTCAGCCATTCATGTGAAAGGACACTGTCTTCAAAGATAAACACTCTTAATGAGAACATTTAAGGATGTTCCACTGCACCTACTGTATCAGTAATGAAGAATAGGCAGGAGGTCGTAAGACATAATTTTGCACAACAAACACTAATCATAAACCATCTAAACAATGTAAAACAATTTTCAGTTTGCTACTTCACAATTAGACATTGGTTAAAAAGGTTAACTCTAAACAGCCATATACCTGCCGTGGGGCTTTCCATTATACCAGTCCCCTTCATAGATTGCATCCTTAAATCGAGGGTTGCTGTTAAAAGTATAGGCAGCAAAACGACAAACAGGCATGTTGTATGAATCCTCTGCACCTTCTTCACCCCACAAAGGGAAATCCAGTTTGCCAGCTAAGTGCTGGCGAATAGCTTGGTTCAGCTTCCAAAACCACACCATCTGTGAATCACAGAAACGCGATGCTAAAGTGTGAATATGTGAGAAAGGTACGCATTCAGGTTGTTCACAGTCTCAGGACATCCCAAAGCCCTTTGTAGCAATGTACATGTTGAAGTATAATTGCTGTGATAACGGACTCTAATGGCAGTCCATTAGCACACAGCAGTGTCACACAAAAGCAAATGAAATTGATAACAACAATATCTGATATTGAAAATGTTCCTTTGAGCTAAATGTTGGACAAAGCAGTAGAAGGACTGTCCTGCTTTTCTTAAAATAGTACTATGGAAGATTTTGCACCCAGCTACAAAGGTGTAGATAGGGCTTCAGTTTAACATTTCATTCAAAAGACTACACCTCAAAGTAGCATTACACATAGTCTCATACTTTCTATGCAGCGCAAAACTAAAGTGTCAACCCAGAATTTGTGCTCAAGCCTCTGCAGTGGGATTCCAGTCTGAAGCTTTCAGACTTGAAAGCTGAGGGAACAATCACTGAGCAAAGGGAATTCTAGTCAGTGTTGTGAAATTGACTGGAAATTGTGTTGGAAAGAATACTATGATATGTGGCTGTTGTTTCACCTTTGTATAAATTTCAAATAAAGTAAGAGAATTTTAACTTCATTCCAGATACATTAAAGACATAAATTTGCAATGGGACTAGTTTAGATTTAGTGTAGTTTTGGCAGTACAGACTCAATGGGCCAAAAGGCCTCTTCTGTACTATATGAATCTATGATTCTATACCTAAATAATTACTTCTGTAGTGTAGTCATTGTTATTACATTGTTAGTCATTTTGACCACAGATACACGGTACAAACAGAGAGCTAAATGACCAGTTAGCTTTATTTTTGTTTGGAACATTGGCAGCACGTCCTGACATTCTTCAAATAGTGCAATGGTATCTTGAAATACACAGGTACAATGAAGCAATCCCTTATATTGGACTGGAGTACTAGTTCTCAAGTGCTGCAATCACCCAAAGGCCAGAAGGATGTGAAAAGAGTCAAAGTGACAACCTGAGGTGAGCAAACTCACAACATGTTGTCACCAACAGAAACCAGAAGAAATCTTCCTTCAATACAGGCTTCCTACAAGTTCAAAATTTTTGTCCAAAATTGTTATTTGAAATTAAAGTTCAGAGTCAGTTACGGACAGTTTTAACAGCGCAATCTTAGGCCAAAATGTAATTGCATCCAAAGTGGCAAAAATGCACTTCACAAATGATCCTCCATCATCCAAAATGGTAGGTTTCCATTCGTTCATTCTAAACTGCATGGACATTCAGATCTCAGGAGGTGACAAGACCATATCATTTCCCTTTTACTTTTGACAAAGTTTTAAGTTCCTTTCTCACCTTATCCTGGATATCTTGAATGATGAATATAAATTCTTCCTCTGGAACAATTATCTTCAATTGATTTCTAAACAGAACAGAAACATATTTTGTTAATATGGAATTCAGGGAGAGATCCCATAGTGGTCAAGTGAACAAAACTATACAACAGATTTGCAAAATAATGACAATTTCTACCGTGTGTTGGAAGACAATGCCTCACAATTTAGTATTAACACAAAGAAATTTCTAGCATTTTCACTGAAAGTGGTCAGCAGCCAGCTTTGGCTAATTGATGGCACTTACAATAGGAAGAGTTTTAATAAAAATGATCAAGACAGAGGCTAGCGTAAAAGTCCTGGAGGTGGTAATTAGGGCACACCCACTGGCTTCAGATTTATCTAAGGCAGACATTGATCCACCCTAAAGTGCTACTGGACATATTCCAGCACTACAGCTGGAACATTTGATAAACATCAAATCCCATTAATACAGGCTGAAGGCAAGACAGTCTGGAGGTGGATGGCTTTTACTTCTTCCTGGAAACTGTAAATTCTGATTTAAAACTCTGTGTCTTCTTGAACACAAATATCATAAGCCAACAACTGTTTTGAAAGTAACAGTTCTCTCATGTCTTTTCATTGAGGTATATTACATCATGGGAGGGATCCCTTCACTTATTTGTCAGGCTTACATGTTCCACACCAACCTGACCTTCCATCTTGTAGCACAGCTCACAACAGAAGTCAATTACTACTGGATGCTCTGATGATTAACAATTAAATGCCTTAAAAAAAACTAAATGTATTAGTTGCTCAGGGTATGGGGGCTTCATCAAGAGCAGTAGGTTTCTGAACTGCAAGGTTTCCTCAATTCTAAAACCAAAACACTATCCCCAGTACTGCAGCAATGTGTCAGATTAATGGATATATTCAAATCCTAGAGTAGGTCGTGGATCCACAATCTGTAAGAGTAAATATGCTGAGATGCTGCAGCCAGTTCTACACAGGATAAAGTCAAGAATTTAGATGCTTGTATGCAATTTACAAAATCATCAGTATTTCCATCATAGTTCCTTTCCGTAGAATGAAATTGGTGTATCTGCTAGCCAGAGAGGTTATTTTAACAGCAAGGACTGCATTTTGTATTAAGATTGGACTTTTTAAATCAATGGATAGTTTTTCCAGAATCTGCTGCCTGTTTATTGGAAAACATCGAACCATCAAAGCAAATCTCCAGTGCAATTTTAAGTTGCATAATTGAACAATTTTGTAACTTATATAGTTCTGACCTTCTGTTAAATATAAATCAGTTTGATGACAATATGTTTACCTTCTCTGTACACACCAGGATTCAAGACAATTTTGTCCCCAGAACCATAATGAAACTTTCATGCTCTGCTATCACAGACAGTTAATGTGAGCTAATGCAAGGTAATGAAATCCAAGGGCTGAATCTTATTTTTTTTGGCCAAATAGTTGTCTCATATCCTGAAATACTCATGGAAGTAATAGCATTACCCACACCAAAGACTAACTGGAGAACCAATGGGAGCCCTGCATTGCATATTTGAGGGAAGACCCGCTGAATTAAGTGCAACTCAGGCATTAAACTGGATAGCAGTGGGCCTTTGGGGGCAGAGGTCATACCCAGCAAGAGCTGTCAGTCAATTGTCAGTAACCCCATTGATAGTAGCACCATGGAGGGATGCAGTGGAAGAGACTCTACTCACCTGAGGCGTAGGTCCAACCCCACATCTCAGGTTATAGATGAGTGAATGGTATGGAAAGGGGATTTGGTGGGAATGACAAGACAGTGGCTAAGGTAAGTGGGTGGCTTTCAGCAAATGCCTTCAAATGGGGATCCACCCTGGGACCCTGAAAAGCAACCCATCCCCGCCTCTTCGACCTGTTTGTTTCCTCTCCACCTATCCTCTCCTCTATCCCTCTTCTATCCGCCTCCCACTCTCTCCCTATTTATTTCAAAACCCCCTTCCCCTCCCCCTTTTCTGATGAAGGGTCTAGGCCCGAAACGTCAGCCTCTCTGCTCCTATGATGCTGCTTGGCCTGCTGTGTTCATCCAGCCCTGCACCTTGTTGTCTCCTATATAGGTTTACTTGTTGCGCTCCCTGCATGGTGAGCCCCTGGCCAATGCTGGATTAATAGCATCTGCAGCAGGGTAAGGCCATTTGGTGGCCTTTATTTGTCACCCTTCCCAGCCCAAAGCCCCCAAAAACAAAATGGGCAGGGCATCAAATTTGACCAATATATACAACAGTACCATTGAACCATACACCAACATGAACCAGCATCTGGAGACAAAAATATATATGTTCCCCTCCCTGAGCAACAATCCAAACCTCTTCCTGCTCACCTTTCAGAGCTACTGTTATCCACCCACAGTGTGTCAAGCTTGTAGATGCTACTTTCAGAAGCCTATGGAAAGAAAGGAAAAGGTAACTTGGATTAAAGTAACTAAACCCACAATAAATAATTTCAGAGACACCAAGCTGCCAAAGAGGGATCTGAGGCTATAATCTCAGTTTCCACTTGAGTTGACCTTGTCCATCTCAAGTCAGTGGTGACACTCCAGCATTTTAGTAAAACACTGTAGGTCAAGTCCCACTCCAGAGAGAGACCACTTACTGCCACTTGTCATGTCACCCATTACCGGTCCTTCCTTAACACTTCTGCTGCTGAAAACCTCACCCGTGTCTTTACGATTTTCAATCTCTGTAATTCCAATACTCTCCTGATTGACATTTCTTCCACACTGTATAAGATTCAGCTGATCCAAACCCTGTATCCTAATTCGCATCAACTACATCGTTCCTGGCTTCACTGACCTTTGCTGCTGGTCCATCAAATCCTCAATTTTAAAATTCTCATCCTTGTGTTCAAACCTTTCTATTGCTCCTCTCCATCTTTTAAAACTCCACTCTTCAACCCTCCAATTCAGGCTGCGCACACACCTTCAGTTTCCAGAGAAAGCCATCCAAAACATGGTCACCAACTCCCACATTTTCAATAGTCCTCACAAGTGTATGTTCTCCATTTCATTATTTGCAAAACTACAGCAGCACACTAGATGAACAAATGAAGCTGTGTCCATTTCCTTGAACACAGAGCTCTTTACCTGAATAAAAACAAGGCTATCATCGAACAGCAAAAGCCTGCCATCTGGACAGGTCAGTGGGACATTTTTGCTGTCTTCTCTCAGGCGCCGTTCTGGAAGAAACAAAAGCTCCTGAAAAAAGGAAATAATTATTGGTCAGGAAGTGGAAATAAGCATTGCAGAAAAACGTACATGGACCTAATGCAGATCCATCTCAACATGCCACAAGTGTATATTGCAGCAGATGATATGCTTCCTCTGTTGCCCTTCCCACTTTCTCAATTGGAAAATTTGACATTTATTGAGTACAGTTCCACGAGCCTCAGATATTAAGCTTTCCTTCAAGGGGCCTGACATTGTGTCAGCCTTACTAATCCTGGTGGCTTCTGGATGGGTAAATTCAGAGTATTTTAAGTTAATGTCTTTGATACCATCAGAAGCAATTATTTCAGTGATTCTCTGGCAGCGCCATTGAGCTCATCTGCATTCTGCTGCCTTTAACGCATTCTGCTGCCTTTAACCTAACACAAACCAAGTCCTCTGACTAGCTTACATATGCTTTAGACAATTTTAAAATTCTCATAGGTACATGAGTGGACCATTCACTGCATTGAGCCTGATCCACCATTCAATTAAATCATGGCAGATTATCTAGCTCAATGCCACTTTCCACATATTCTCCACATCCCTTCATGTCATCAGTCTTCAAAAATGTATCAATTTCTGTCTTGAACATGCTAGTGTCTGGGTTTTCACAGTCCTCTACGACAGAGAACTCCATAGATTCAGGACGCTTTCAGTATAGAAATCCCACTTCATCTCAGTGAGGAGATGGCATGTCTGAGATGATGTTACTAGTTCTAGACTCACTAGCCAGGGGAAATAACTAGATCCACTCTGCCATACACTTCAATAACTTTATAAATTTCAATGAGATCACCCCTCATGCTTTGAAATTCCAGAGAATACAGACCCAGTTTCCTCAATCTCTCAAAACAATCCTGCCTTCCCAGGGGTTAGTCTGGTGAACTTCTGTTACATTCCCTTTAAAGCAAGTACATCCTACCTTGGATAGGGAGACAAAAACTGCATACAATACTCCAGTTACAATTTCACCAAGCCTTTATCCAATTTCAACAAGACATGACTACTTCTGTACTCAAAACCTCTTGCAACAAGGTCTTCATAGCCTTGGTCTTCTGAATTACTTGCATGCTAACCCTCAGTGTTCGAGGATACCCCTTTGGACACCGGCACTTCCAACCTCTCAACATTTAAGAAACATTCAGCTTTATTTTCTACCAAAGTGAAAAACTTTACACTTATTCACACTATATTCCAGCTGCTGTGTTCTTACCCATTCACTTAGCCTGACCAAGTCCCCTTGCAGTTTCCACCAATCGTCCACAAAATTTACATTCCCACCTATTTTTGTAACTGCAAACTTGTAAATATTATAATTGCTCCCCACATCCAATTCATTTTAGTTTTTGAACAGCGAACCTAGCAAGGATCTTTGCAGTATTTCACTAGTAACATTCTCAGGATGATCTGCTTATTCCTACTCTTTGCTTTCAGTGCGTTATTTAATTCTCAATCCATACAAGTATATTATTCCTAATCCCATGTGTTCTAATTTGGTTTACTAACCTCTTGTGTGAACATTATCAAACGTATTCTGAAAATCCAAATACACTGCATCCACCAGTTCTCCTTTATTTGAAGGAGAAGGTAAAATTGCCATAGTCCTACTGGAACATGGGCTGGGGGAAGGAGAGAAAGAGACAGAGAGAGAGAGAGAGAGAGAGAGAACTGGTGGTGTTGTAAGGATCAGGCAGCCCCAGGGACACAATATATACAAACACCCATTCCAGACCACTATCTCAAAGTATAGGTAGCAGTATTGGCTTAACACATAGTGCAATTTACTTGAAACATTAGCTCTCTCTCTCTCCACAAATGCTGTCCGTTCTACTAATGATCTCCAGCATTTTCTGTTCTTATTCTAAATTTGGAAAGATTATGTCAGCAGAAGGGGAATGATGGATTTTGGTATCATGTGGGCCTCAGACAGCAAAGATCTGCTGGCATCTGCCCAGTGAGTCATCACTTTTGGCAGAAGTTCCTGCAACTGTCCGATATTTATTTGAGTGGAATTTATTTGAATTATATTTTTCTCAAACATTTCACAAGATTTGTATTTATAGTTTGATCTTTTGTAATGCTGGTGACCACTGGATAATGAAATAGTCAGAAGTTCAAATGAAAGGAGGTTTAATGTCATGTACTGAATACAGAAGAAAAACATGGAAAATACAGAGTATGGGGTAAGCCGGAAAAGGATACAAGAACAACAAAGAGGAGATGATAATAGCAAGTAACGTAAAAAGGAATGCGGAACTCTTATAAACATTAAAAAGTTAAAGGCTAATTAAAGGAATGATAAAACCAATTAGGCTCTTGTGGCACAAGTGCAAGTCCTAGTTCAAGTCCCGCCTGCCCCAGCTATATGTCCTTGTATGTTATGATCAGCCTGTACTGCACACAAAACAAAACTTTTCACTGTATTTAGGCACATATAAATAAATCAAATCAAATCAGATCCTTGTCATAACGTATCTGAATGGGTTGATTAAAACAACTCTAAATAGATACAAAGGAGTTACTAAATAAGTTGGCATCACTCAAAGCTAACAAGTCAATGAGTTCAAATGGGACATGCTTACATTTTCTGAGGGAACAGGAAGATAGTACAAGCATTTTTTTAGATTGGACACAGAGTGGTGCCATAGGATGAAAGTATTGTTACATCTTCGTTCACAAAAAAGGGAGAGGAAGCTAACTACAGGCCACTCAATCTAAGATCCTGGGAGAACTACTAATAACTTGTCAGGACAAGATTAAAAGCTCATTTGGAATATAATGACTTACTAAGGATAGCCAACACAGATTGTAAAATAACTGCAGAGCCAGGCATCCTGTCACCAGGTCACCCTTTATTTACTTGTGCACAGTACACTGTCCATGAGCAGCCATCTCAGTGTCAGTGCCCTGAACTCAGGAAATTCTAAATCCCCTGTTTGTATTGGTCGGCCAGGGCTTCTTGATTGGCCTGGGTTAATACTCCCAATCAAGGACCTTGTAGTCAACAAGGTCCACCTGGTTCCAATCACTACAGACTGTTAAAAGCTAATCTTGTGTGATCAACCTGGTCCAAGTCTTTAATGAAGTAACAGTGTGTTTATGAAGGTAGTGTGGTGGATACTCTAAAAATTGACTTTAAAAAGTCACTTAGGTTGCACATTACAGAAAGCAAAACAAATAGAATTAAACGGGACAATTCTACTGAGTCCAAAATTAGCTAAGGGACAGGAAGCAGTCAATAGTGATGTATGAATGTGCCTCTGACTGGACCGAAACAGACAGTAAGGTCCCCAGGAGCCATAATTTATACCATTCCTTTCCTGTTCTATATCAATTGGTTACATGTAATGCAATTCTGAAGCTTATTGGTGATACAAAATGGGACAATATAGTAAATAGTGAACAACATAGTAGCAGGACGGCAGAGACCAATGGAACAAGAAAACATGTCAGGTTCAGGTCAGTGTTGGTAACTCTGAAATGATGCACTCGAGGGAAAGAATATAAATATAATCTAAGTGCTACTATTTAATGGGTGAGTTCCAAAAGCAGAGGGACTATCTTGATTTATTTTGCTTTTTGATTTAGTCACTTTACCTAAGAATGGATACAATTTCATCAGAAGTAGTTCAGAGAAGATTCATTTGACTGATTCCTGAAGTGAAGGGCAAAGACAAAGCAAAGATTGAGCAGGTTGGATTTGGATCCATTTTCTCTGAGGGTCAGTAGTCTGTGGAATTTCCTCCCTCAGAAAGCAGTGGAATCTGGTCCCTGACTTTTTTTAAGGATCATTTAGACGGGTTCTTGATTGACAACTGAGTCAAAGGGGCTAGGCAGAAATGGAGAATTGGGGTCACAATCAGATCATCTTAACAAATAGAGTAGGCTCAGGGGCTGAAAGGCCTGCTCTGGCTTCTTATTCCTAAGTCCATATGCCTGGCTGGGTGCATATTCAGAAATCCATGTTGACGACAGGGAACATTCAGATGACATTTAAGAAAGTATATGGGATACTGGAATGCAGTAAACACAAAATAGAAAATCAAGGAAGTCATGTTAAACCTTTGAAATCTCCAGTTTGGTCTCAGCTGGAGCACTGTGCACAATTCTGGGAATAACACTTTCACAAGGATATTAGAACATGGAGAGTGTATAGAGGAGATATGTTAGAATGAAGGGGCTTCAGTTATACGGACAGTATTATGATCTGAAAGGATGATGAAAACCAAGGGGAAGTGGTGGCACAGTGCTATTGTCACGAGAGTAGCAATCTAGAGACAGGGTCTCAAATCTCATCATGACAGTTGTTGAAATTAGAACTTGATTAATTAATCTGGAATTTAAAAACCTTCCTGATCTAGTGATGGTCATAAAACAACTGTCAATTGTAAAAATCTATCTATTGCACTAGTGTCCATTAGGAAAAAGAAAATCTATCATCCTCACTTGATCGGGCCTGCATGTAACTCCAGATCCACAGCAATGTAGTCGACTTTTAAATGACTTCTAAAATTGTCTAGCAAGCTACTCTATTGTATCGAACAACTACAAAAGTCTAATAAAAGAAATGAGTCCAGACTGACAACCCAGCAATGATGGAGGGACTTACAAAGGCACACAGCCCTGTCAACTCTGGAAAGTCATCCTAAAAGTATCTGGGGCTATGTCAACATTGAAAGAGCTGTCCCATAAATGTAAGATAGGATTCTCTGAGAATGACTGCATCCCAGCCACCACCATTATGATCCCTGGGTTTGTCCAGAGTCTGCACACAGAGATGGTGGCAACATTGGTTTACAGTCAGGAAGGAGTTTCCAGGGATTCTTCAACATTGACTCTCAACTGCATGAAGTTTCATGGCATTAGTCAAATATGGTCAAGGAAACCACCTACAGATTACCACCTACAGCCCCTCAGCTAATAAATAAGTTCCCCTTCAAGTTGAACAACACTTGGAGGATGCACTGAGGGTGGCAATGGTACTCTGACTGGGGGACTTCAATAACCATCACGAAGAGCGGTTCAGTAGCATCACTACTGACTGAACTGATTGAGTCCTGAACGAAATAACTGCTGGACTAGGTCTGTGGCAGGTGGTGAGGGAACCAACAAGAGTGAAAGAAGTACTTGGCATCATCCTCAATAGTCTGCCTAGGTCAGATAATTCTGTCCATGACAGTATCAATAATGACAACCATAGAATGGTCATGGAGAAATCCCCTCTTTCACATTGAGGATACCCTCTCATTTTGTTTGGCATTGCAACCCAAATACCACCACACCACGTGCTGAATGGGATAGATTTTGAACAGATCTAACAACTCAAGGCTGGGTAGCAGTAAGGTACTGTATACCATCAACAAAAGGATTTTATTCAAGCACAATTAATAAACTCTCAGCACAGCTTATCCTTCACTCTACCAGCACAGTCAAGAAAAGGGATTGGCCCTGGTTCAAAGAAGAGTGCAGGAGAGCATTACATAAGCAGCACGAGCCAAAGAATCCCAAAACCAAAAGCTCAGATCTAACCTCTACAGTCCTGCATCATCCAGTCATAAATAGTGGTGGACATATAAACAACTCACGAGAGGAGGACGATCCTCAAATATCCCTATTGTCAATCATGGACCATCACTACAAAAGACCAGGCTGAAGTAGCTGCTTTTATCTTCAACTAGGAATGTTGAGTTGATGATCCATCTTGGCCTCATTCCGAAATCTCCAACATCATGGGTGTCAGCCTTCAGCCAATTTGATTTACTCCACAAAGTCGAGAAATAGCTGAAGAAACTAGATATTGCTGGCTATGAGCCCTATATTCTTGTAACACTGTTGAAGAATTACCTGCGCCTCTAGCCAGCTGTTTCAGTACAATTACAACACTGGCATCTGGCCACCAAAATAGAAACTTGCCTAAGTATGCTCTGTGCACAAAAAGCAGGACAAATCCAACCTGGCTAATTATTCACCCATCAACTGATTCTCAATCAGCAGCAAAAGTGATGCAAGGTGTCACCAACAGTGCTTTCCAGCAGCACTTACTTAACAATACTCTGTTCGCCGATGCTTAATCTGGGTTTGCTAGGGCCACTCAATTCCAGAATTCATTACAACTTTGGCTTAAACAGAGGCAAAAGGACTAAACTCAAGAGGATGTGAAAATGACTGCCCTTGACATCAAAGTTGCATTTGACAGAACATGGCATCAAGGAGATCTAGCAAAATTGAAGTTCAAGGGAATCAAGGAGATCTCTCTGCTGGTTGCAGTCATACTAGTACATAGGCAGATGTGATCATTGGAGGTAACTCATTTCAGCCTCAAGCCACCACTGCAGAAGCTCCTCAGAATAATGTCCTAGGTGCAACCATCAGCTTCATCAGTGCCATGAACTCCATCATAAGGTCAGAAGCGGAGATGTTCACTGATGATTGCACCATGTTCAGCACTATCCACAACCCCTCTGATACTGAAGCAGTCAATGTACATATACAGCAAGACATGGACAATATCTAGGCTTGAGTTGATAAGTGGCAATTAGCATTCACCCACACAAGTACCAAGCAATGGCCATCCCCAATAAAAGAGAAACTAACAATTACCTTTTAACCTTACAAGGTATCACTATTACTGAATCCTCCACTTTCAATATACTGCAGTTACCATCACTAGAACTTAAATTAACCATATAAATGTTGTGGCTACAGGAGTAAGTCAGGACTCCCCAAAGCCTGTCCATCATCTGCAAGGCACCAGTCAGGAGTGTGTTAGAATACTCTCTACTAGCCTGGGTAACTGAAGCTCCGACACAATTCAAAGATCAACACCACCCAGGACAATGAAACCAGATTAATTGGTACCCCATTTAACACCTTCAACATTCTCTCCTCCATCACTGATGCACTGTGGCAGCAGCCTGTACAATCATTGCAGTCATTCACCAATTGCTTAGACAGTATCATGAGCTTTACTACCAAGAAGGACAAAGGCAGCAAATGCACAGGAACACCACAACCTGCAAGTTCCTTTCCAAGCCACACATCATCCTGACTTGGAACTATATATCTGTACCTTCACTCAAAGTCCTCTCCAACAGCTCTGTGAATTGACCCAAAGCACATGTACTGCAGTGGTTCAAAGTGGTCACTCATCATCACCTCAAGAGTAATTAGGGGTGGATAATAAACAGTGGTCTAGCCAACTCATATCCTTTTTTTTGAAAACTGCTTCAATTGGGACTTTTCAATAAAGAATTGGATATATAGTGAAGAGAAAAGAGATACAAGAAGAAAGCTGGAGTGTAAAACTAAATTGGACAATGTTCAAAAAACTGGAACATGCAATATGACCCCATTCCAAACTTTTAGATTCTAGAATAAGATGCATAATGGTTTGAGAGAAATAGGGAACCATATTAGATTTCTTTCTTTACTTACATACATACTCGCAATGAACACACAAAATCAGAAGTAAAAAGTATAGTATCAATCAGCCATCATTCATCTTTCCCAATTATCATTTTCACTGATGACATGTCATCTGAGGTCAAAATGTCAACAGTGAGCAGGATAGCAACAGATCAGAAGAACTTCCTGCTGAGAAGAATACTTCCCAGGGAAACATGCAAGCACAAGGCAGCTGAAACTTACTACAGCGAACCATTAAATGATACGATTTGGTAAGGATAAAGATACAAAATCAAATGGTGAACTCAAAGTGAATGCATGAACAGAAAGATCTGCGTCTCCATCTACACGAGACTTTTACAGCAAAGTTGAGAAGCAGTTTAAAAACATACATGGGGTCCTCAGCTTCATAAATGGTAAAGAAGTTATGAAAAACCTGTATAGAACACAGCCTAGGCCCTACCTGGTCAAGTACGCACATCCCTTTTTAGAGATAATGTGAATGCTTAAAAATTAAGGTGTAGAGATTTAAAGGGGTGAAAGACCTCTGTTATATAGATATACTTCAGAAACTGGAGGATAGTAGAAGCAGATTTACTCACAACATACTATGGGAACTGGATCAATACTTGAAGGGGAGAAAACTTGCATTGCTATGGGAAACAGCAGGTGTATAGGACTAATAGAAGAGCTAACTGAGCCAATATGGATATTTTCTTGACTATCATTCTCAAATTTGGTGTATCGTGCAGCATTCAACTCCCAGCATTCCAGGTATTTAAGGGAGACAGTGATTAAAAGAAAATTGTCAGCCACCTTCCAGTTTCTTTTCTTTTCATTCTCTCCACGGAAGTAACTTCTCCATTAACTCAATAGCACAATTCAAAACAGCATAGCTCATGTCTGAATTTGTGACCAGAGAATAAAATGCTGCTTTGTATTACCAAATAAACAATGTATAATTTGAAAATTGCAGGGATAGAGTACAGAGAATGGGAAGTGGTAAATTATTTAACAACTCTTCCCTCTCCCAATCTTGGCTGTTACCTAAAAGAGCAGGAATTGGGTTATCTGGTCATTCAGGTGTCTTATCCAAAATGCCGGTAGCAAAATATAGTGCAGCCCAGATAAGGAATTATCTAGAAAATATTCAATACCTTCCTCATTCAGCAATATTTCATTGGTCCTAGATTTACATTACTTGTTTGGGGAGTGTTTCTGCACAGTAGATTAGTGAAAATGAAGGAGAATTTATAAGTCCAGCCAAGAGAGGGGTTGGGATCTCAGTGACACTTCATTTTGAAAATGTTGTCTCCAGTGTTACAACACTCCCCCATTACTGTGTCAGCAGGGACTACATGATCAAATCTCTGAGTTTGAATATATGGTTCAAGCCTCATACTCATAATAAAATTTCTACCATTTAATACTTAAAGTGATTTGTGTTTAGAATTTGAAGCAGTCCATGTCCAAATGCAGCAAGACCTGGACATCTAGGTTTGGACTGACAATTGGCAAGTAAAATTAATGCCACACAAGTACAAAGAAATGACTATCTTCAACAAGAGAGAATCTAGTCATTGTCCTTTGACGTTCAACAGCATTACCATCACTGCATCCCCGGCTTTCAACAACCTGTGGATTATCATTGATCAAAAACTGAAATGGACCAGCTATATAAATACAGTGGCTGAAAGTGCAGGTCAAAAAACTACGAATCATGTAGCGAATAAATCACTTTCTGACTCCCCAAGGCTGGCTCCATGGCACAAGTCAGTAATATAATGCAATACTCCTCTCTTGCCTGGATGAGTGTAGCTCTAACAACACTCAAAAAGCTTGACACAATCCAGGATAACACCATGCACCAAAGCACAGTTGCAGCAATGTGTACCGCCTACAAGATGCATTGCAGAACTTCACCAAATATGGTTAGACAACACTTTCCAAACCCACAACCACTTCCATCTGGAAAGACAAAGGCAGCAGATACAGGGAACACCACCACCTGGAAGTTGCCCTCCAAGTCTGACTTGGAAACATATCACTTCTTCTTCACTGTTGCTAGGTCAGAAATCCCTTCCTAGCGGCATTGTGGGTATGCTCACAATAAATATACTTAGGCAGTTCAAGAAGGCAGCTCACTGCTACCTTCTCAAGGGCAATTAGGGTTGAGCACTAAATACTGACCAAAACAGGGAAGCCTGCATTCCTTGAAAGAATAAAGAAATATCTAATGTTAGGCCCATTTCAAGTAATATGTCTAAATTAGTGAAGTTGATAAAAAACTAAAAGAAGAGGAGCGTTGAACATAATTTGTCCTGTACTCACTGTTAATTTGCTTCCAAGTGAATTCCACAGGGTCTTAGTCAAAGTTGCCACATCCAGAGACTGACGGATCCATTTGTCCAGATCTATAAAGGTTGCAAGTGCATCAGTAATGGGCTTTGTCTCTGGACTCTGGAATGGACAGAAAAAAAATTCTTGAAAATAGTTAAACTGAATTTCTAACAACTTATTCTCTCCACTCTGTTATGTTGCCATATATAAAACAGAAGCACATATATACCTGAATAATAGTTATGAGATAGCAAAAAGGCAGGAGATTGACATTAGGTTGATCAACTTTCACATGCAATCCACAAAAGTATGATTGGCCAAATAGCCTCACTTTCTGATTCAAACTTCAGTTTAAATGGTCCAAGAGCACATGATGTAGAATGTTTCAAAAATGAATTGCACAGGGTTAACAATACAGTTATATTACAAAAATTGCTTTGTAATTGGAATGTATTTGAGGTGATTCTTTGTCAACAGATCCAAGTAACACAGTCAAATCATAGTGTTCGGACCAGGAGCAAATGGCATTCTCCTCTATACACCTGGAGAGTAGTGTGTTGGAAGTGGCTCTGAACTTCTGCTAAAAATGTTACATGTTAAATTGATGACAGAGTTATTCACCTCTCTTGACATCAAAACATGGGAAAATTAGTTGCTGGTCTTCCCAAGAACTTTCAGAGATCTAACTAACCACTTGTGGTTCCATAATGGAAGATGAAATGCTGAAGTTTTTTTTCAGATTTTATTCCTCATTTAGATTTTGCTATTTGCCTATAGCATTTTACAACCAAATTCACATTATTCAATTGGGCAGCATTTCATTGCCTATTTACAGTCACAAGACCATGAGACATAAAAGCAGAAGTAGGCCATTTGGCCCAAGTTTGTTCTGCCATTCAATGAGATCATGGCATTTCTGATAACCCTCAACTCCACTTTCCTGCCTTTTCTCCATAACCCTTGAATCCCTTACTTGTAAAAAATCTGTCTCTCAACCTTGAATACAATTAAAAGTCCAGCCTGTACAGTAATCTGCAATAAATAATACCATGGATTTACTACTCAGAAGAAGTTCCTCCTCATTTGTCTTAAATCAGGAACTCCTCACTTAGAGATTATGGCATCAGTTCTAGACTCTCCCACAAGGAGAAACGGCCTCTCCACATCTATCGTGTCAAACCTCTTAAGAATCTTATGTTTCCAGAAAGTCATCTCTCACTCTTCTAAGTTCCAATGAGTACGAAGTACTCAGCCTCTCCTCATAAGACAGATCCTCCTACCTAAGATCATCCTCGTGAATCTTTTTCTGGACTGTCGCCAATGATAATATAGCCTTCCTTACATAATGGGAACAACACTGTTCATTGTCTTCTAGGTATGCTCTAGGTAGTGTCTTGAATAGTTTTAGCAAGACTTCACAATTTTTAAACTCCATTCCCTTTGAAATAAAGGCTAACATTCCATCTGCTTTCCCTAATGCCTGCTAAACCTGAATGCTAGTTTTTTCATGATTTATGTATGAGGACCCTAAACGCCTCTGTGCTTCAGCTTTCTGCATTCTCTCAACTTAAATAATATTCAGCTCCTCCATTCTTCCTAAGTACATAACCTCACTTTTACCACATTTAAGTTCAGCTGAGGGTCAGAAAACTGTGTATAATGGTCAATCGATATTTCTGGATGAGATTTATAGAGGAGGTCCCCAAGGGTCATTACTGAAATCTTCACTTTTCCTGAGGTACATTAATGGTCTGGATTTGTGTGCTGGGGGCAATTTCAAAGTTTGCAAATAAGACGAATCTTGGAAGAACTATAAACTGAGGAAGATAGTGTGGAATTCTAAAAGACAAGTTAGCAAATAAGTGGCAGCTGAGGTTCAATGCAGAGAAGTGTGAGGTGATACACTTTGGTCAGAAGAATATGAAAAGACAATTCAAAATAGGGGTTACAATTCTAAATGGGATGAAGGAACTGGGTGTATCTATGCACAAACACTGAAGGTGGCAGGACAGGTGGAGGGAGACTTTTTTTCAATTTTTTTAATAAGAGCAGAGAGTACAAAGGAAAGTAAAGGAAGTGTACAAGACATTTGTTAGACCTCCACTACAGTACCATGTACGGCTGTGGGCACCATATTGTAGGAAAGGTGCAAATGCATTGGGAGAGATTACAGGAGCGACTTATCAGAGTAGTTTGAGGAAACTTCAACTATGAAAATAAATTGAAGTAGTTGGTACTGCTGTCCTTGGAGAGCTGATAGCCGAGAGGAGGTCTGATTGATGTTTTCAAAATCACAAGCAGGCTAGATAGAATAGATAGGGTGAAGCTGTTTCCACATGTGATAGAAACAAGAATGAGAGCGCATAGATTTAAAGTGTTATGCACACAAAGTGAGGGTGATATGCGAAAGAGCTTTTTCATATAGCAAGTAGTTAGGGCATGAAATGCACTACCCAGAAATGTGGTGGAGGCATGTTAAATTGAGACAATCAAGATGACAATAGATGTTTTTTGGATAGTAATGATGTGCAGGGATATGGGGAAAAGGCAGGAGACTGACATTAGATTCTCACCACTTGCTTTCCACCTACTTTTGTGTCATCTGCAAACTTAAGATTGGATTAAAAAATGGACAGAACCAAGGTTGGTCTACAAGATTTTAAGGCCTCTGCCTTTTCCAAGGCTCTCAGTCCTTATACTCAGTTTAAGCTGTCTAGTTGATTAGTGTATAGGAATAATGGAAGATTTACTTCAATGAATTCTATAAATCAATGACGGAAATAATTGGTTAGTTAGAATTTCACAATAAAAATTAAAGTCTTCAATCCATTGAAAATCTATTAAATCGTACTGAAAGATTTTGGAGCTCTACTATACTCCAAGTTTGAGTACATTTAGTCCGTGGGATTCTGTACAATGTCAATGAAGGTGTAAGGTTGGTCTTTATTTCGAAAGAATCATGTTCAATGCCATTGTGAATTATGGATATTGGTATCTTTTAGTATTCAGAGCAATCCTAAGTAAAACCACTCTCCACAGCCATTTTATGGTCCTGCTGTAATCATGAGGGGCCCCATGGAATTTCAGAACTTCTTATTTATCCATGGTAGTTCCTGATACATAACACATGCACACTTTATTCCCGTACCCTTTGTTGATCAAAACTACTGTTTGACGTAACTGACCTTTTGCAAGCCCCAACTGAGTTTCCGGAGCACGTCAATGTACTTCTGGACCTGGAGACGTATGGGTTCGTGGAAGACTCTGTGCAGGCTCATAGAAAGCGAGGTATTTGAGGACAAATCGAGGTGAAATCCTTTCAAACTTTTCTTGTTCTTTTTCCAATATTCACTGCATTTATTTTAATGATTAGAGGAGGGGAAAAAAAGTACATTTTTAAGGATTACAGACATTGTGTTGGCTTGGTAATCCATATAAAACTATCAATACCAGGATGCTTTGTATTAATGAGGGTTTTCCTCATTTCCCTGATCCTCGTCTTCTACCAGTTGTCTTGTCTCAGTGCTAGATCCTCTAAAAAGTATAGTACAGAACAAGTAATATGGAACAATTCAGTCCCATCTGATTCTCTTTGACTCCTTTTAAAATTCTTCCAGGGAATCTGAGCATCATGTCGATGTCAGCAAGTAGGCAGAGATTGTACGCAGCCCTTTTGTGTCTATAAGCTCCAGTACATTTATAGCACGCTGCAAATAAAAACAAAATGCACATGCACGTTGCAAAGATGACTCTCATATTATGCCAGCTTTGTGATATTACTTTGGTGGGCAGAAGCATGATCTTCTATTCCGTATGTGCGCACATTTGTTCTTGCCTTTAAGATTTTATAGCAGACAGTAGAAATGACACTCAGAAGAACATAATTCATTAGACTTTTCCAACATTCTTGCCTCAGCATCAATGGACATAGGATCCTGAGCATCAAATAGACATTCAAGTGTTTCTAAGATAGAACCACAATATCAAAACTGTAACATAACGCAGATGGCTTATCTAGTCAGACACAATAAAGGGCTACTTTATTAGACACAATGGGTCAAGTTTTCACTCTTGAGATGAGTAACAGCAGCTTGGAAAATTTCCAGCTTCGCTCACCTCTTCAGGAAATACTGACTCCAGGCATTCGCTCATCATTGTTGGTCACTGGAAGCTGCCTGATGTCAGGCCAGCTGATCCCAGAAAGACTTCAGAAACCCCCATAGAGGCTGCCAGCTGTGGAGCAGGGCTTTTTAAAAGTCCCAGCTCCACCTGTGGGAGCTCATCTCAGGTGTAAACAAAAAAAATCAGGGAGACATGTAGGCATGTAGCCTCTCTCTCTCTCTCACTCATATTCTCTCTCACACACACACTACTCCATTGCGGTGACCTAGGCCAAGGTATGGTCCCTGCTCCTACCCTCCATGCCTTCTTGATGCCATGGCTTGTTGTGGCAGTCTCCCTGCAGTCACCCCTGCCATTCAGCAACTATACACTCTAAAGAAGCAATGAACACCATACCGTATAAGTGAAAACAAAATCTTTAAAAAGGAAATCATTTATCTCTTTCCACTAAAACACACTGCATCCCAATAAAAGTTTCATTCAAACAGACTTTTAAAGTTTCACATAAAAACCACTTAAACCTGTGTCAATAAACATTGTGCATGTTATTTCTTTACCCTTTTACACGTTGGCATCATTGGCAACGCCAGCACTTGTTGCTCATTCAAAATGGGCTATTTTAGAGGTCTGGAGTCACAAGTAGGCCAGACCCGGACAGAACAGCAGATTTCCTTCTCCAAAATACATTAGTGAACCAGATGGAGTTTTACATCAATCAATGGCAGTTGCCATGGTCGCCATCACCAGTAACTTTATATTACTGATTTATTCATTTAATTTAGTTTACACTTAGTGGGATTTGAGCTCACATCAATTGTGAATTAGCTACAGCCTTTGGGTTAATACACCACAATGCCACTATCTCTACTGCTGATTTAGATTGATGAGTTCAGACATTCAGAGCTGTCAACGACTCAACATTTTAGATGCTTCAGCTCTCTAAGCACTCTATTTTGTTCTAACTATGCATCCTAATTAATCATTCTAATTCGTTTCATTCATTCTGTCAGGTACAAAGTGTCATTTTAAAGGGATTCCAAGTCAACTTAACTTGGCAAAAATCTAGCCATTTTTTAAGCTGCCAGCCTTTAAAAGAGCATTTCATCCTCAATCTGGTAGTAAGCTACTGAAACGATGACCGGAATGTAGTTGAAAAGAAATTCGCACAAAGCACAATTTCTCACAGTCCAAAGCCCTCCCATTCTGAAAACAAACTGGAAAAACAATCAAAATTGCAATTATTCTTTGAGATCTTGAGGGTGAATAGAATATCAATTGAAATTCATTTCCAGTTCCACTGAACTTGATAAATGCTGACCACATCATTGTTTGCACGAGATTGCACTAATAATGTGGGCGAGAGAGGAAATGGAAAAGAGGAAGTATTGTTCTTTTGGAATTACAAATCAAACTTTTAAGGCAATACTTGGCTTCTCAATAAATTTTATTCCCTTCTATCATGAGGCTATTGGATTCATCATGGTGCAGTTCTGTGTACATGTTTATTGCAGATCAGTTCAAGTGAATTTAGGACCAAAATGAAACAAACCATTATCTGCTCATCATCCCTTACGTTTTTTTTGAATCAGTTCATACCTTTTCCACATTCAACCCTACAGTTGTCAGATACAGCTGATTTTGTTCATTTCCATTCTTATCAAATTTCAGCCAGTAAATCTCTACAACTAGCTTTTTTACCTGAAATCTTGGGTATAACGGAAGGATTCACCCGTGGTTGCTTCATCTTCCTCACTGTCATTCTTCCCTCTTTGAGTGTTGATCCAGCTTTACTTTTTATACATAAAATTAAGAATCTGGTGCTCTACCATAGAGTCATATAGCACAGAATAGGCCTTTTGGTCTATCAAGTCTGCGCCAACCTATCTACACTAATCCCAATTTCCAGCACTTGGTCCATAGCCTTGAATGTGATTACATTTCAATTGCTCATCCATGTTCTTTTTTTACTGTTTCGGATATGCTTTACTTCCTACACAAATACAAACTGAAACTGTACATTCAACAGTCAGCACATCGTATCAGATCCCTGATGGCTGAGCTACTCCCAGGATTAGTTTATATTTCTAGCTTTCAGTTTTGGTTTAGACTTGCCGTGGCCGCTGGGTCTTTGAGATGCCCTTTGTTCCAAGTCCTTCTTCATGAACGGTTGTGGTTGTGGCTTTTTTCTGTTTCCATTACAACTGTTTCTCAACCCCTATCAAAAGGTTTAAGAATTCCCACCTCTATATCTCTCTCAAGCAGTGAGCTTCAGATTCCTAACACCCTCTGGATGAAAAATAATTTCCTCAAATCTCCTTTAAACCTCCTGCCTTTCACCTTAAAATTTTGCCCTCATGTTATTAACCCTTCAACCAAGTGGACCAGCTGCTTCCTATCCACCCTGTCCATGCTGCTCAGCCTTCTCTGCTAACCCGTGTCTATCCAGCCTCACTTTAAAATGCTCCAACCCAACATCCTGGTGAATTTTCTCTGTATCCCCTCCAGTGAAATCACATCCTTCTTACAGTGCGGCAACCAGAACTACACACAGCTATCATCTAATCAAAGTTTTGCAAAGTTCCAACATTACTTCCCTGCTCTTATAATCTATGTCACAACTGATAAAGGCAAATGTCCTGAATGCCTTAAGTACCCTATTAACTTATACTGCTCCTTCAGGGATCTGTGGACAAGATCCCTTTGCACTTCCTAGTGTCCTGCCATTTATCAAAAACTCTCATGCCTTGTTACTTCTTCTTCCAGAGGACCATTGCCATGCTAACCTATTTTAATGAATTCCATATCGTACACTATACTTTAAACATTTGATAACTTGTGGTTCATTAGTCAGTATAATATCCACTAAACTGTCATATCCATCTTGGTTACTACAGTAACTTATACTTGTGCAGAGCCTTTTTGTCACTAAAGATCCCAAAGCTCTCAGGAGCATTATAAAACTAACTATGAATTTATATGACAAAGTGTGGCGTTATTTTTATTTAAACTGTTACTTTACATTACATGTTAATTAGGGGTTAAATTGAAGAAAATCAATATTAGTAAAAATAATGGTGGTTGAGAAATTAATGACATTCAAGGCTGACAAACCCCCAGGACCTGATAGCCAGCATCCCAGAGAATACTGAAGGAAGTGACCCTGGAAATATTGGGTGTAAATTAGTGGTCACCTTCCAAACGTCATAGACTCCCAAGCAGTTTCTATAGATTAAAAGATGACAAATGTAAACCCTTCATTTGGAAAAATAGGGAGACCCTTACAGATTAGTTGACCTAACATCAGTAGTGGGGGAACTGCTAAACATCTATGTTAAAAGACGTGATAACAGAACACTTGGAAAGCATTAATGGGATTAGGCCAATTCACCATGGGTTTATGGAGAGAAGTCATGCCTAACAAATCTACTGAAGTATGAGGATGCAACTAGTGGAACAGATAAGGGAGAACCAGTGGATGTGATGTATTTGGATTTCAAGACAACTTTTGATAAGGTCTCACATAAGAGGCTAGTGGGCAAAATTAAATGCACTCAGAATGGAGGTAATTAACTGGCTTGAATTGTGAACTAGTTGACAGACCAAACAGAGAGGGGAAATAAAAGTATCTTTTTCTGGCTGGCAGGCATAATGTGGGGATCTGTGCTTGGACTCCAAGTATTCACTATATATATAAATGACTTGGATGTGGAACTAAATGCAATATTTCCAATTTTACCGAGAACACAGAACTAGGTATGATTGGGAGTTCAGGAAGATGTAAGGAGGATTCAGGGTGATCTAATGAAGTTGAGTGTGTGAGCAAACGCATGGCAGATGCAGTATAAATGAATAAATGTGAATTTAAGCATTTTAATGCGAAAAACAGAAAGGCAGACTATTATTGAAATAGGAATATAGTGGCAAATGTAGATGTACAAAGAGATCTGGGTGTCCTGGTGCACCAATGAAAGTAAACAGGAGTGTGTAGCAAAAGCAAGTCATCAAATGGTATTTGACTACATTGCAACAGTTTCAGAGTTACTGCAACTATACAGGGCCTTGGCGAGACTGCACCTGGAGAGCTGCATCCAATTTTGATCTCCCTACTGAAGAGAGGATATATTTGCCATATGGAAGCGCTGCAAAGTCTCACCAGGCTAATACCAGGTAACCAGGTATGACTGTTGAACAAGAGATTGGTTTAACTGGGCAGGGGGTTAACAATTAACCACTTTTATATGGAACTGAAATCATGTTCATTCTGGGTCTGGCCGATACAACAAGGTACCTTCCCAAGGAATCATCATGAGTCAGACTTGCAACAATCCAAAGGCATAATGGTCTTGAACTGGAAAATTGAAAATAGCAACTCCCAAACCATGACCAGTTCCATTTAGAAGGCCAAGAGAACACCACCACCTGGAAGTTTCACTCCAAGCCACTCACCTTCCTGACTTGGAAATACTTGCCCTTCCTTCAGCGTCACATGGCCAAAATCATGGAGCTCCCTCCATAATGAAAAATAATATGTCTACCCACTTCATGTCGACTGCAGCAATTCAAGAAATCAGCTCACCTTCAACTTCTCTCGGGACACTAGGGATGGGTAATAAATGCTGGCCCAGCCAGCAACACCCAAATAAAAATAATGGTGCTATAAATATATGACATTACAATGGCTGTGATGGGAAGTTATTAATGAACACCTTTTCTGTCATTTACTATATTAGTCACATGCTACTTAAACACCCAATCAATGCTAATTCCATGTTACTAAAGTACAGCTAGTCACTGTGAAATGTTCTCTTTTTATTGGTTTCTATGGGGCTTGTAACAGTGATGAACAGTTTGTTAAGGATTATATTGAAAAATAGAAAAAGAAGTACTGTTTGTCTAAGATAACACAGTATGGAGCTGGAAGAACACAGCAGGCCAGGCAGCATCAGAGGAACAGGAAAGTTGACGTTTCAAAACGTCAACTTTCCTGCTCCTCTGGTGCTGCCTGGTCTGCTGTGTTCCTCCAGCTCCATACTGTGTTGTCTCTGACTCCAGCATCGGCAGTTCTTGCTATCTCTACTGTTTGTCTAATTCAGGTTATACCTGACCTGCAATTGCTACTAACTATCCATTTTCCACTGTTATGCCTAAACTTCAAGCATACAAATTCAGAGAAAACAGCAATTAGGGAGTCAATTAACATTCAACGTTTACAATTGTGAAGTCATCTAAACTCTATCAATGGCACCTACCTTTTTCCCCTGAACTCGTACCTTGTTTGTTTTGCAATGTTTTCAAAGCCACAGAGAACAACATAGTTTGTGAATGCTGTAAAGTACCTGAAAAGAGAAACAATTACTCAAGGGAGAGAAAACATACCGTGGATCCTGGAAACTCAGGAAGTAGCTGAGAGGAGACTAGAGTGGCAGAGTGTGAGAGTTCAAAGAGAAGTGGCCAGTGCTGAATGGGGAAGAGGACCTATACTGGGCCAGTTGCAAGCATACCAAAATGTCCAAGAACTGAGTTTGAATCTGTTTTTCACGTAGATAACCCTTCCACAGTTTGTAATATCTCCAACTATACCCATCAAGCAAATATCTTCAATTGCACAGAGATCCAGCTGAGAGACTCATTCACACATGCCCGTATGCATTCCAATAATCAGTGACTGCCTGAAATTAGCACTGACTGATTTGCACAATAAGAGCCCATGGTTTTCGGCCTGATTGCCAACTCTGTTAATAATGCGGTCTATTTTTTGTTAGGGGTAGTTAAGTGCCATTAACCATATACTGTGTTTGGGGCTACATAATGATTAATGACAGAGCATAGACCACTGGTGAGTCTAAACATAAGACTCACTGTTCTTAGTGCTATCATGCACGGTGGCACAGCAGTTGGCACTGCTGCCTCACAGTACCAGGGACCTGGGTTCAATTCCACCCTCGGGTGACTGTCTGTGTGGAGTTTGCACATTCTCCCTGTGTCTGTGTGGGTTTCCTCTGGGTGCTCTGGTTTCCTCCCACAGTCCAAAGATGTGCCGGCTAGGTGGATTGGCCATACTAAATTGCCCATAGTGTTCAAGGATGTGTAGATTAGGTGGGTTATAGAGGGATGGGTCTGGGTGGGATGCTCTGAGGTGCGGTGTGGACTTGTTGGGCCGAAGGGCCTGTTTCTACGCTGTAGGGATTCTATGATTCTATGAAATGATCTTGTTAAGTAAGTGCAACTAAATTACTAGTCAAGTATGAGTACTAAAAGCTATTGAGAGATGCATGGACTATATCAGCTCATTTGAAAGGTAGTGTAGATCTCACTGTCTCTACCCAAAGACTGTAAGAGGTATCAGATTGGGTGGAGCCAACGCAACATTGTTGATTCTTTCAGAACCATTATCTGATACTACAGGGTCTAAAATCTGTTGATGAACCGATTAGAAAACTGGTTCCTGGTGAGCAGAGGAAATACTGGACCTGGGGATTCTACAGTGACTGCCAGAGGAAGCAAAGTCTTTTACCTGTTGTAAATTTAAAAACCTTACCGTGGAGCCAAAAGTAGGAGGCCCTCCAGCTTAGGAGGCAAGAAGGAAAGAGGGTACTTCAGAACGGCAGCCTACAAATGACATCAACTTTTAATTTAAAAAAGTTGAGAATCTGGCTACAATTGGAGCAGGATCCTTTCCAAAGGGCACATTGTGCCTTGCAGCTGGAGTCTGGAAGGGCCTTCATGGCTGCCTGAATCACTGCTGTGTGGCTAAACTTCAGGAACCTGGAGGCAAACTTAAAAATTCCAGTTGGCCCTCTACAATTGACCTAGGGCTGAAATGCAGCCACAAAACTGTCTCTCTGGCCCATGATGAAAATTTACATATTACATTCCCCTCTTCACTCCTCCTCCATACCTACTTCCATCTGCGACGAAAAATTAAGCCCTTAATAGTGAGCCATGCAGATTAAACATGGTACATTCCCGTCTCTAAAGGCAATGTTTCTGCTGTTAACCTGCCAAATACCAGACGTATTGGAAGCAATGTTACCATGTCAGGAGTTGATATTTCAATCTCCACGTTGATTGTCCAGTATCATTATAGTCAGGGTAGCCAACTGGTTAAGTCCAGTTTTGATCATTTCAAATATTGGCTCTAAACCTTTAATGATTTCCATCTGCAGGTCACTTGTAACCATCAGCTGACTTGCTTACCGAATGTAAACTTCCTTGAGCCGTTGTGCATTTACAAGTAGATAGAGCTCCTTTCGGGTCAATGTGTCCAAAGTATCAGCGAGATGCAAACAGTGTTCTTCTGATTCATTGTAGAGAGCCTCCAGACTCTCCTCCAAGACAAGGAGAGCCTCTTTCAACTGTGGCCGGCTCTTTTGATCAGAAGTTTCTGTAAAGAAGAAACGCTGTTCTTACTTATGTCCATGTAAATGAAGGAGAGAGTTAGGCTGGTAGATGTTGTACCAGCCAGCCAACCATTCTAATTGACAATCATGGTACTGAACACCATGAAGAGCATATATCAGGGTAGACAATTCAACACCTCCTGTTTTACTCTTATACCCCAAGACAAATTTCTAGCTGAGCCAGTTCCAGTTAAGAACTAAAGAACAAAAATAAGAGAAGACCATTTGTTCTTACAGCCTGGATCAGTCAACAAAATGATGACTGATCTAATTGTGGTCTAAACATCACTTTCCTATCTGCTGCCTATGACCCTTGAGTTCATTATCGATCAAAAATTTGTCTAACTAAAACTTGAATATTTTCAATGATTTAGCATCCACTGCCAGCCGCAGAAACAAATTCCAAACAAACCTCTAAGAGAGTGCTCATCACCTTCTTAAATGGGAGACCCATTATTTTAAAACTGTGCTCCTTAAATAAACATACAACTGGTTCAAACCCCAGTGAATTTAGTAGCAGTGTGTAAAATTCCAACAGTCCACTCGCTATTAATTTCTCTTGTATAGCATCTAGAGTTACCTCTCCACTGCCTTGATTTGATCATTAAATTCAGCAGAGATCTGTTCCATTTATGGTTATTATTTGAAAACTTAAATGGAACAGATCTGTGCTGATTTTTCTGATAGACAATCAAGACAGTGGAAAGGTACCTCTAGATTCTACAGGCAGTTTTGCCTGACAATCACTCACTGTGAACATTGCTCAATCCCAGAAGTGCCAAATTGATGAAACATCTCACTGAAAAAGTAAAATAACTAGGTAAGATGATGGAGAACAAGCAGAGATGGAATATTTGGATTTCCAGAAAGCTTTTCATAAAGTGCCACATAAGAATTAGTGTGCAAAAGTATATGGAAGTGAAGGTAATAATCAGCATAGACTGAGGATCGGTTAGCACTCAGGTAATAAATTTTAAGAAGAAACGGACTATTTTGGGAGTGAAAGACAAGTGGGATCAACCCCCAGTTATTCACAATATTTATCAATGTTATGGATCAGGGAATCAAATTTCATTTTTCCAAGTTTATTGATTACAAAAACTAATTGGGATTGAGAGTGGTGAGCAGGAGATAAAGAGGTTTCAAGGTGATTTGAACAAGTTGAGTGACTGGGCAAATGCATGATAGATGCAGTCAAATATAGATAAGGGTATTAAGTTGTCCATATCAGTAGGAGAAAAAGAATGGCTGAGTATTATTTAAATAGTGATCAATTAGGAAAGGTTAATGCAGAAAGGGTCCTTCTGCACCAGTCACTGAGAGCAAGCATGCAGCTGCAGCAAACAATTAGAAAGCCAAATGGTATTTTGGCCTTCATTGCAAAAGGGTTTGAACAGAAGAACAAGGAAATTTTACTGATGTTGTAAATCTTGAGATCATCCTGGAGTGCTGTGTGCAACTGTGGTCACTTGACCTAAGAAAAGATGAAATTAGCATAGAAGGAGTGCAATGAAGGTTTATCAGACTGATTCCTGGGATGACAGGTTTGTCATATGAGGAGAAGTCTGGTCAACTGAGCCTTTGTCACAGGAGTCTGGAAGAATGAAGGGGGATCTCTTTGTAACAATATCGGGCTGGAGGGCATGTCGTTTCTTTACACTTTCACTCAATGCAAACAAGTTTTGGCTCTCATTGACACTGTTTATTATGTTGGTATCATCAGAAGCTTGGATATATAGCCCTCTATCCCTCAATGAACTTCAAAAAGGCCATTGCTAAATGTAGTGAAGAGCTTAAGGCCCCAAAACATTTCCGTCGGACACAGTATGAATCAGATCCTGCCTGATACATGACATCACCAAAAAAAAACATTTTGTTATCTTTCTAAACGTGTATGGGTACTTTCAGTTCATATCAATTTTCCAAATACTTACTTCCTGTCCTAACCCAAAATAACATCCTAGTAACGTACGTAGCTCAGCCAGAAATAAAAAGATATCTCATAGAAATAAAAACAGTGATTCAGATGCTACATCACAAATCTGCTAACTTTACGTTCAAATGGGAGGGATTTGGTGACATTGCAATGGTCATATAAGGGATCATCTCAGTTTAAACGTAGGAATGTAACTCTGCAAAAATGCCCAGACCAGTTCCTTCATTTGCCCTTATTTTGAACAAGTGTCAATTTTGGGGAATTTTGTGGAGGATTTTTCTTACAGCCCAGGCAATGTTTCGAATGCAATTTTCTGCTGCTGACTTCATGGATTATATATTATCCTCCACAATGCCAGTCCTTGTGAAAGCTTGCATTCCACAGAGGTAGGAATGCAGACCAGTGCCAGGAATTTACAGCCCTCATGCTGCAGGGGCCATTTTAAAGCCCAACTGCACATCATTTCAATCACTAAATCAGAAAAAGCCTTTTGGTGAGTTGGTTTGTAATTTCAAACAATATGGCTGAGATGGGCAAATTGACATTCCTCTTCACCAACAGTGACCTAGTGAATGGGGTGGAGGAGGGGCAGGCTGTCCTTTTTTTTACCCAGGACCACCAGAGGAGACCACGGCAACTGATGCTGCCAGACTATCTGCAGCAGCTAGCCTAATCAATGCAGTATCCATGTCTCAAAGAAACGCGCAGCAACACCACAGGATCGTTAATGACCTTTTTCACTTTATGAGTGTAAATGCTGCCATCTTCTCTCTGCACCTCTCACTCACTAACTCCACAACTGCACCCATCTCCCACCAAGCCTCAAGGACCACCACCCTATCAATGCAAGCAGCATCTTTTCTGAATGATTCGCATCCATCCCAAACTCCTAACCCTTTCCACTCTCCGCCCTTCCTACTCACTCAATTGGGACAGTTCACCGTTGCTCCTGACTGAGGACAGACCAGACCCTTGGCTGATTTCTACATGGTTCCCTGGTCTAGTTAAGAATTAAAAATTCCCAAGGCTGGTTTCTATTTTATCTCTGTTAATTGACAAATTTTTTAGAATAAACCTTACCAATTTATTTTCTTCCCCCCATTTGCAATACTGTATTACTTCAGCTTTATCTATCAGCCCCTCTAAACTGTCTCATTAACTGAAGGCTCAAGTTAATATTCCTATTCTGCTGTAGATTTAAAAATTATAGATTACTAATAGGTTTGAGAGAATGAAGTCTATGAGGCATCAGGATTCCCTTTGGCTCAATCTTAAGTTATTTTAAGATGAATCAGCATTTGACAATTACTTACCAGCCTTGACAAGAGGCTTTAGAATGTGAGTTTTCAGGTCAGTCAGTGAATTCTTGAAGGCCTGCTCCAGCTTGAACAGATAGGCAGCTTCTCTTTGGCATTTCTCCTTCAAGGAATTGGAAAAAAAAAAATTTTGATTTTGATGAAGAAGCCCAGATCAATAATGCTGAACACTGCACTTCATCTGAAGAGACCAAAACAATGATTTAGGTAATGCCCAGCTTGATGTTATATAGTAGATGATGGTGCACTGTTCCACTGTTCTGAGCGTCTAGGAGAGAATGCGAATATTTTAAGAAGGTTTAGAAGAAACACTGGAAAAATCAGAGGCATAGTGACCACAATAGCATTCAAACAGTAGTTCTGAGTATTGTTGAAGAAAGTCACATTTTCTCCAATGTTTTGTCTTTCAGACATGTACATGAAATATAAACAAAAGGCACGGCACAGAAGGAAAAGGAAATTGGTTTGAAATGGACACAACACCTGTAACCACAAATGGTTAGCTTGCAACTCTAGCAACTTAAACCAAATGTAAAAGGAAGTCGGTTTATTATCAAATTGATTTTAACCAGTTCAGTCATTTCCCTTTCTTCTGGTCTGCAAGTTATTTCACTCTCACCTTACAAAGTAAAGCTGCTGGAAGCGTCAGATCAAACAGATGGCCATCACCAAATAAAAGTAGGGTTGATATTTTGATGGAAAGATGGAACAAGGGGTCTTCTCAAATTGAAAGACTTTGTGGCATAAAAAAATTCCACAAACCAATTTTGAGAAACTAGATGAAACAAAGGAATAGGCCTATGCTGAAAAGGTCACTAAAAGTTAGTGGACAGATTCATACTATATGTAATAAAAGGGTGAATGAAAAATTGACCATTATCATTCAAGATGAATACAAAAGGTGAGGAAGTTATTTTCATTTATACAAATGAATGCTAAGAATCATCTAGAGTATTGAAGTATTAAGCATCTAAGCATCTATATTCAAAAAGGGCAAATTAATTGCAGGTTCACAAGAATATAGCAAGGCTTCAAGAGTTAAATTAAGGACAAGTTGCATAAATTTTGAATGCTTTTCCTGAAGATTAGAGAGAACAAAATTTGGACACATCAATCAGAAAAAGGACAGTTCAGGCTCAAAGGGCTACATAGCTTATTCTCATTCTCACCCCAATAAAAACATCTTCAGATGTGTCTTGTCAAGTCCTTTACCTTAATTTCTGGCCCCAAGTTAAGGATTGTTCTGGAGCTTGATGCTGACTTTGAAAAAGGTGTATTCCAATTTCTAGGAAGTTTGGCTCTCTGTAGCAGTGCATCTGGATCAGCCTGCTGGACTGGACGATTTGGCTCCATTCTGTGCCTCAACTAAATATTAGAACGTCCATCTTCCTCAGCAGATTTTTTCAGAAGTGCTTACTAGTTAATTAAAAAGAGAAACATAAGTATTTAAAATTATCCAGGATTTTCCAGCTAGCATCTAAAGGAATGACATTCATCATGTAAGTTTACTTGAGAAACTTTCACACACTTATAAAGTTTCCCTAAACAGAGGAGTGTATCAGCAAGAGCATGCTGGGGCATGTGTTGACAACCTCAAGGATTTAATTAGCTAACAGCACACACCTTATTTCACATTCCACTCCCTGTCCATCTGGGAATATTTAGATTCCATAGCAGGTATCTGACAGCAAGTCAAAAAGTGACAATTACATGCAAAAATGATAAAATGATTAAAATTGAAACATTAGTTTCAGGTTTCAGTTCCTTGAAGATCTGACCTTTTATTTTAAAGATCAGAAAGTCATTTTGAATATTGCATCCAAATAGTACTTTGGAGAATTTGTTATTCAGCTAAATGACCAATATGCCACCTGGGGAGATAAATGCTAAAGTGTTTGCTGACTACAATTTTGCAACCACCAGAGAGAAAGAGAGGAGTCAGAAGCAGTTTCTTGCAGAATAAAGAGGTACATAACAGCAGAGGTGCTCTCCTGTGAGTCAAATCCAGGGAGAAGTCCTGAGGTACTTAGAAGTCAGTGAGAAGAAAGTTCCAGAGGTGGAAGGCTGTGAGAGTACCAAAGAGTAAGGATCCAGTTTTGGTTGGTTGGCTCGCTGAGCTGGTTCGTTGTTCCTCATGTGATTCATTACCCTGCTGGGTAACATCATCAGCGCAGCCTCCAATGAAACATCTGCGGAACAACGAACCAGCTTGGCGAGCCAACCAACCACAACACCCAAAACCTGAGCTACAAATCTACTCTAAAAACCTTAGTAAGGATCCACAGGCTAATGAAGGCATGAGTATAGAAAATGCACATTAAGTAGGAGTGAGTAGAGTCTGCAGGTTATTTTAAGTGTTTCTGAAGAAAATGGCATCCAAGGAGTACCAAAAGGAGACAGATTATAGCAGTGCCAACTGATCAAGAAACTTTAACATTAGGGCAGAGGTGAATCTATTAAAGGTTTTAATATCTTTAAGGACATTGCTGGGATAAAAAGGATGAATCTTTCTTTCTCGTGGTCATCATGGGATTGTTCCAATTGTTCTTGTCCAGTAAAATATACTTTATGATTTTCATCTGTGTAATAAACTTTTCTCTTACTTTGTTAAAAATGCATTGGCAGCCTGTTGTGAAAATGTTCAGCAACTGATCCCCACAGTAAGCAAAAAGAAAAATAAAACTTGTGTTCTATCAAGCCAGGTTCCACTCTGGGATCTGACTTATCCAGTATTACCTTCAATTAGGATCATAACACTGTTGTCAATAAGAGCAAGGCAGAGTGAGGAGGGACTGCGTAGATCAATATCGAAAGGGCAGAGTGTGTGATCAGATGCTGGGCGAGAGATAGGAGGTTGGATGGAGAAAGATCATAGAAGGCACTGGAGCTGAGATAGCTATGTATCAATTGCAGCATATTTCCTTACCTGTGAATCAAAAGCATCTTTCCCTCGAAATTTCATGTTACACCTCAAATGCATCCACACAACAGGTATCAAAGCAAGAAATGTTAACAAACATCTAGTCTTGGTCCATATTTAGAATTCCCAGTGCAATAAAAGATAACCTGAGGGGGGAAAAAGAAGCACTAAAATATAAAATCTTAATAATTCTGGCATAGGAACTATTCAGCTGATCCAGCAACAAGTGCTGGATTTTCATGAAGGAAATGGAAAACATCCCAATTCTGCCCCCTCTTGTATTCACATTCCTCTTATAATGTGGTGACCAGAATTGCATGCAGTACTCCAGTTGTGCCCTAACCAGCATTTAATACATATTGCTCTTATATTCTATGCCTTAACTAATAAAGGCAAGTATCCCATATGCCTCTCCACCTTATCAACATTCTCTGCTTTGAAGAAGCATCTTACCAGACTTGAAATGTTAGTTTTGTTTCTCCCTCCACAGACAGGAAGAGTAGGCCACGGCCTGGTAGTATTCACTAGATCTTTAATCCAGAGACCTAGTTAGTTTTCTAGGGACCTGGGTTTGAATTCTGTCATGGAATTTTAATTCAATAAATTACAAATCTAATGCCGACCATGAAAAGGTTGTTAATTGTCGGAAAAACCCATCTGGTTCACTAATATACTTTAGACAAGGAAACTGTCATCATTGCCTGTGGTCTGGCCTACATGTGACTCCAAACACATAGCAAAGTGGTAACTCTAAAATGCCCTCTGGGCAGTTACAGATGAGCAATAAATGCTGGCCTAGACAGAGATGCCCACATTTTATAAATAAAAGTAATTGCTACTAGGACTGCCAAGTTCTCCATTATTCAGTATCCTCTACCCTCCCTACTACCTTCAGGGACCTATGAATATGCATTTCAAGATCTCTCTCATCTTCAATACTTCAGATGACAGTTTTATCTGCAAGCCACTCCCAGCCCATTTGGGCCAAATGGTATGTTCCCTTAATAAAAGTAGCCTTTCCTGAATTTAGAAATTTTATTCCCTGTCCATTCTTATCCTTTCCCATTACTGTCCTAAATCTGGCCAAGTTATGGTCACTATCTCCAAACTGCACATAACTCTACTGATATGCCATCCACCTGCCTAGGCTACTTTCCAAATATTAGGTCCAGAACTTCCCCCTCATTTGTTAGGCTTTCTACTTACTTCCCAAAAATATTCTCCTGGATGAAATTTAAATATTTTGTTCCCTCTCACACTGCTAACATTTGACTCATTTTTTTCTTAAATTCATTCATGGGATGTGGGTATTGTTGGCTGAGCCAATTTTTTTGCCGTCCCTAGCTGCTCTTGTGAATGTGGTGGTGAGCAGCTTTCTTGAACCGCTGCAGTTCATGGGCATGTCAATCCACGGTGCCACTGGGGAGGAAATTTCAGGATTTCCACCCAGCAACAGTGAAGTTACGGTCGTGATATGTTACCAAGTTAGGATGGTGAGTGGCTTGAAGGGGAAGTTGTAGGTGGAGATGTTCCTATGTATCTGCTGCCCTTGTCCTTCTAGATGGAAGTGGTCGTGGGTTTGGAAGGTGTTGTGTAAAGAGCTTTAGTGAATCTCTACAGTGTATCTTGTAGATGATATCTGCTGCTGCAGCTGCTGCTAAGTGTCGTTAAGGGAGTGGATGTGGTGCCAATCAAGTGGGCTACTTTATCGTGCAAGGTGTTAATCTTCTTTAATGTTGTTGGAGCTGCATTCATCCAGGAAAGAAGGTCGTATTCCATCACTTACTCCTAAAATTATTATTATATTATTATTCTTTCATTTTTTCTAAAATTTGATTGCATGTTTGATCATCTATATCCCTGACTATTTGGAGGTCTCTAATACAGTATTTTTGCTCATAATGTGTTTTTGTGTAGTTTTTTTTTGTCCGCCTACCTCACCCTATTTCCCAGAGCAGCTAGACCACACATAGTGCCATGGTGCCATAGCTCTGACTCACCTCCACACAGAAATAAACATTCATTCTTCCTCTCTTCTAAGGCCAAAAGACAGACAGTTAAAGAGATGCATGGGGAATTCCTTCATGACCTGGCTAGTTCCCCTTCTGTCTGACGTTCACCCATTCCCCCTCTCCAAGCAGTTCCTCAAAACTGCAGAGTGACCACATCCTGAAATATGCTGTCCACGAACCTCTCCACCTCCTGAATATATCATTGTGTTCTCAGCTGCCATGCAAGCTCAAAAGCTCAGAGGTCAAGCAGATCCAGTCGGAGGCACTTCCTGCACAGATGGTTATCCAGACTGCAAGATTTTCCAAGGGCAGCACAGTGGCTCAGTGGTTAGCAGTGCTGCCTCACAGTACCAGGGACCCAGGTTTGATCCCACCCTCAGGTGACTATCTCTGTATAGATTGTACAATTTTCCTGTTTCCTCCCACAGTCAAAAGATGTGCTGGTTACATAGATTGTCCATTGTAAATTACCTTCTAACGTCCATGGATGTGCAGGGTAAGTCAGTTAGCCATGGTAAATGCAGATTTACAGAGTTACGGTCGGGGTCTGGGTAGGATGCTCTTCAGAGCGTCAGTGCAGATCAAAGGTCTGAATGGCCTCTTTCCACACTGTAGCGATTCTCTGATCCGACATAGTGCAAGGTGTGCAAATCTGAGCTAAATAGATTATAGACCATTTGTTTTACCCTTCCTCCTACTCAAGTATAGACTAAAATAGTCTTATTTTTGTTCATTTCAGACAAATAACCAGAACCCCTTGACACTATTAAGAAAATTCATAATTTACAAAGCAAAAAATTATTTAAACATTTTATATTGTACTTACAGCTTTAAATCAAACTCCAGTCACAAGAAACAAGAGAGGAGAAAAATAGCCAGCAGTTACCTATTTGCTCTCCTGTGTCATTACACTCCACTTTTGTTGAAGCAGCTTTAACAGGACTTATCGGCTTCTGGGACCACACTGCTCTGAGTGCAGTTAAAAAAGTAGCAGCATTATTGCTGAGTCCCACACAAGTTTGCCCAAATGAGGGTGATGCGAGGCCACAATTGAACAAATGTCATATCAAGGCCTCCTAGCAAAGCTGGGCTAAATGGGAATCTGGAGAGGGGTGGTGGGGCTGGGGAGACAGAGATATCTAGCACTCTGGCAAATGATTGTGATTATTGGAGGTCAGTAATCTCAGCTCCTGGGCATCTCTGCACTTGCTCTTCAGGTTAAACATTTTCAAATCAACCTATTCAGGGGTGTCATTCCACACTTCTGGAGCAGGTGCAACTTAAGCCTGGGTTTTCTGGCTTAGTCCTTCGCCCAACCATCTTTAGCTGCTTCGTCAATTAACTTCCCTCTGTCATTAGGGCTGAAGTGGGGATGATTGCGGATGATTGAAGCAAGAGATCTGCTAGATCTCAGCTGATCATCTACCTCAACACCATATTCCAGCACTATTCCCATATAAGAATATAACAACCAGGACAGTTCAGCCCCAGCCTCAACTCCTGCCCACTCTCCATAACTTTTCAACTGATTAGTAACTAAAAATCTATCTATCACCTACTTAAACTTACTGGATGTCCCAGCATCCCAGAAGGAATTTCTCATCTCAGTGTTAGGATAAGGAGTAGCAGATTGAAAACAATGGCTTCTCGTTTTCTATTGTTTCACAAGAAGAAGCATCCTTTATCTACTTTGTCAATCCCCTTGAGCATCTTATATACCTCAATTAGAGATACAGGTAGAAAATTACACATGTTCACTACCCTATGGGTGAATAAATATTTCCTCATTTCAGTCTTAAATCGTCCAGACAGACAGCGACCTTTGATTCTAGACTCCCCATTGAAGGAAAAATGTTCTCCCTGTATCTAGTCTGTCTAGCCCTATTGTATATATTTGTATAAATTTCAAAAAGATTCCTCACATCCTTCTAAACTAGAGTGAATACAATCAAAACAATCTATCTTTGTCATACAAATTAGTGAGAATCTTGCTGGTGGGAGGAGACTGACTGGACCATCAATGGCAGAATGGCTTAATTCCATGCTGTACATTCTATGTAATTCTATGTTTGCATAGTTAATGCAGCCCAACCCATATTTGACCCATACTCAGCCTGTCCATTTTGGGCACCAGGCCTCATTATCTTACTGCCTGTGAGCTGATATCAGCATTAAGACTTAACGTTTTCAACATGATTCTTCTTCAAAGAAGAGAACATCTTCCAGTTCTGAAGAAAAGTCAAACCAGACACTAAATATTAACTCTCCACAGATGCTGCCAGACTTGCTCAGTTTCTCCAACATTTTCCATTTTATTTCAGATTTCCAGCATCCGCAGTAATTTGCTTTTAATCTAGTGTTGTTCCTCCTGACCTACAAAGATAATTTTAAACTTTGCTTTAAACTTTCTCTTTTGATACCTTAATTAGGCCAAAAGATCAATCTTTTTAAAAGGAAACCCAAAAATGACGAAAGGAGAGAAAAACAATAATGGGAAATATTTAGTGACTGAATATTTTTAATCACATATTGATACCAACAAGGATCAGGGATTTGTACAAATAATACTTTAAAATGTGAAAACACAGCAGGAGCTACGCTAGTGTAGCTCAAATTGTCCAAATGGGGGATGGGGAAGTCAAGTCTTTAACTGACTGCAGGACTGTCAGAGCAATAAAACTGACGGACCTCTGAATACACACAGCTGTACCTGAGCCTCAAAATGACTATTACATTTCCTTAAACATTGACAGTATTTTCATTAAGTAATCACATCTGGTCAATTGGCCGTGTCAACCAAAACTCAGCGGTAGCAATTCTACCCGAGTCTGTGACTCATGGATTCATATGCCACTCAAGTACTTCATCCAGGCCAACACATCATTGCAGTACTAAGTGAGTGCTGCGCTATCGGAAGTGTTGTCTTTGAGATGAAATGTTAAATCAAGACCCCTGCCTTACATCTCAGCTGTCTGATAAACCTCCCATTCTTTTCATCAAAGAACTACAGGAGAGTTCATCGAATTGACATTCATTCCATAAGAAGCACCTAAAATTGATTCCATAGTCATTACTATATCACTGCCTGTGCGATCTACAGTGACTGCATTTCTAAAGAATCTTTTGGTGTAAAC